ATATTTACGTGGAGTAAGTCTGTACGATAAGCTATCATTACGGAAATAAACATATTCTTAGTACGAAATTAGGGGAATTATATTGCTTTAAGCGATCATATTAGGCATTAGTAGTGCTCTATACGTATCCAAACGTGCCAACTCTGGATGGTAATTTTGCTTAGGATGTAACCATGGATCTTATTTGTTAATTGTAATGGGAGTTAAGTGACTGTAACCTTCGCTTTCTAGTTATTTGTGAGCTTAACTCTTCAAAATTTAGGTGCAATTTATTCTCAAATTTGTACCTCTTATCAATAAAATTACTTCTGCATGTAAAGAAATATAAATTATAATTTGACCAATCGGGCATGAAATTGGTTACTACTGCTAATTTACTGACTGATGAAGACACACCCATGCCTATAAATATTACAAAATTCTTCGTTGATAAGAGCATTAAAGTGTTTATGTAGGAATTAATACTCACTCTCACACTACAACTATCTAATAGTTGTGGAGCCCACTGTGAGACACCATCTTGAAACAATTTCTCCAATGTTCGAGATTTTGTGACAGAACAACAATAAATAGGCCAAAAATCAATCAAGAAAAAACCTAATATGCTAGGGCAATTCAACATGTATGTAGATCCAAAATGATCTTTAAAATGAAGTCTTTCGTTTTTAATTAAAGTAATTTATTATAGTCATAATAATTTTGTTTCTAGTTTATTTTTCATACTTTCAAAACAAATTTTTGGGTTAAATTATCATAATTAAATTCATTAAGCATTTTTCAGGGTATAATAAAATTAATCCATCTATTCTTTATTGAAACATTATTATTTTTAACAAAAATTTTGTTAATTTTAGTTTAGAAACTTCCTTTTATCAAAGTAATAATTACTAACATTATTTTATAAGCAATATATGTATATAAAAAATCATGTCTTCTTATTGACTATGTTAATTGGTGTATTATTTTCATTTATATGATTTCTTTTAAAACTTTTAATTTTTAAAATATTAATTTTTACAAAGAACAACGAAACATTATGACATCTGAGAAGAATAGTATGTAACTAATATATATTTATTATAGTCAGTATTTTTGGAACTTTTGATTTATTCTAATATATAAAATATTAAATAATGAAAGATATACATTTTAAATTACATTAATAGGAGATAAAAAATAAATTAATGAGGAAAAATATGCAAGTTATTCTTTAGAAAATATATTTTTTAATAATTAACAATATGTTTGAAAATGTAAATTGTAAGGCAACGTTACCTTAATTTAGCCGGCCATGCTAATATAAACTCACATTCATCTTAGACGGTAAGCAATCGTTACTCCACCTTAAACCTTGATGATTTTGTTCATCTTGGACGTACCTGATTGTTAGTAATAAATCATTTTTGAATTTACAAGTTTCTTACAAGTAAATGTAACTTGTCTTGCAAGCACAGACAACATCTTTTTCACTCTTTTCTTTGTAGTTATATCATATTTGAGCAATTATATATACTATTCTCTCTCCCCATTTATCTCTTTACTGAAGTGAAATTCGTCAAAGACGACAGTGGTGGAAGAAGCTCCTACATCTAAAATGTTAATCACAATGGCTGAGCTGACATAGGTTGTTAATGGATGGTGATAACGGAAAAAGCAAAATCTTTGTCAATGTGGCAGTGCAAGCTTAAGGGGCGAAATTAAAAGTCAAAGTTCAACGCTGAAACGTGTAGTGTGGTGTTCGGTAGCATTCCTCAGAAGCCATGGTGGTTGTGCTTGATGGGTCATGAATGGCAGTGGCGTAAATCTAGTGGGATTTTGGGTTTCTGACGTGTTGTGATGGCCTTGTTGGTGGCAGAGGTGTGACTTCGGCGATTTTGATGGTGGTGAATGGTAGTAGTGGACAAAGTAGAACTCGCTTTTACCTACCCCAAGAAACATTTCTAGGAAGCGAAACTCCTATAAGATGATACAATAATTGACCATATTCCACTGGAGAAGTAAGTACGTGCAAGCCAAAGTCTTAAGAATGTGCATATGTATGATGCTAACCGATCAGCAACATGGTTGCCTTCACGATGCATATAAGTTAGCTTGACAATCCAGTCCCTATTCGTAAACTTTAGAATAACATCTACAATGGTTGCATATGGATGAGGGGGGGGGGGGTGGTATAGCCATGCATGAAAAATTAAGTAAAGCGCACTCAAAGAATCAGTTTCAACCCATTAGTTTTAAATCCTTTAGTCCAATCTACTTGTAATGCTGAGCGGATTCCTCCAATTCACCCATGAGATCAGTTTTTGATCCAATGTTTCTAACAATCTAGCTATGTTTATAAAACTACTTGTGATATATTGTTATTGGTAATTAGTTACTGGTTTAGGTGCTGGATTAGTAGGATAAATTTAAACTTTTATAACTTTTTATTTCATAGCATGTGTAACCACTAAAATGACATGTTTTACTTGATAAAATAAAGTCTAAAATTTATTGCAGTAATTTCATTAAAAAAATCCTCTTTTTGTTGGTAAACAAAGACCCTCTTTTTTAATAATATTGAATTTTCCCAAGTCTCGTTTCACCTCTACAATTAGTTACTCACCGTTAACATTGTTTCCTTGATTTTCTTTTTAAAAGAAGACAAAAAATAATAGTTGAAGCAACTTTATTAGGCCGCAAACCAAATTTGTTAACTAATAAGCAATCAAGCAGGTTAGGTATAGAATTTTCAAGTGTTGAAAAATATTTCCCTGAAAATTAATCTAGTTTCTTCAGTCTCTGCAAAAATTATGCACATTAAAGGTTATCCAATAAATTTAAGAGTTTTAATAACACTATTTCTAGCATCCTTTTTATAACGCATTTTTACTTAATGAAATTTATTAAAAATTACAAAAATTTTAATTAATAATAAACAGCGTATTTCAAAACATATTATTAGCAATTTTTCTAAACGTAATGCGATGTAAGAGCCTTTTCACGTGTATTATTTATCCAACAATTTAATTGCATTTATAACAATCACATGCGACGGTTGAAAGTAGTGTAGTATGAGTTTGGTTATGTACGAGGTGGTGTGGCAGTAATGAGAAAAGCAATGGATGTTGACGAGTAAACAAACTGTAACCACATTACGAAAGCATATATATGGTTGAGTTTTTCAAAGTGAGATTCATAAAAGATTCGACAATGAAATATTATGTCATTGGGTTGATGAAAGTGAACATTTTGTATTGCCAGCTACAATTCGCTCTAAGCATGACCTTCAACTACGAACCATGCAACCTTGTGATGCTCACGTTTGTGTGTAAATTCAAGGTCCACAAGGCACAAGCTGTAAAGGGTAGGCATGGCAGTTGGTGGTGGGTGGCAACAATGCACTGCATGTCAATGTTCAAAGCATGGATCACATGCCGTTTCATAGATCCCATAAGCTATTGTCCATTTATTGAACAAAAATCATTAATATTTGTTTGTGGTCTTTTACATTGTGCGAATTAATTAGGATCCATTTGTACATGAACATGAATGAAACTTTTCATGTACAAATGACTAACTTGCTTCAATGTTGGAAACTTATAATCGGTTTTGAAATATGTTGATGGATGGTTGTAAATTGACTTTCACATAAGTCGAAGCACGTTACACGGTGGTAATAAATTATAGGTTTACATATTATTTTGGTTTTTATATAATATTGTTTTGTTAATTTACTCTTGATACTAACATCCAAGTTCGTAACTAAGTTTTTAAATAAATAATTTTTAAAATAACCTTCATAACATCACTATATCATATTTAAAACATTTTATTTTAGTTCCTACACAATATATTTTTTTGTGATTTTATTTATGATACATTTTTCATTTCAGTCCTTAAAAAAATTATAAGGATCAAATAAAAAATAAATATATATGGGGATAAAAGTGAATTATATTTACATGAATTTAAAACATTTTTTTAATCTTTTATTATATTTTAAATCACATGTTTATCCGTGGGCGATTGAACAATTCTAGAGCTAGCTTTTAAGAAAATTGGATTTTATATATTAATGCAAGAAGAATCTGTTAATTATTTTAATTTTTGTTAAATTAAAAAATTTAATAACAGATAAGCCTAAAAAATTTAGATTAATAAATTATAAATAGGACAAAACTAAGATGCAATACATTGAATATTTCTGGTATTATTCTCCTATCAATATTAAAATTTTACTAAAAAATTTATGCAATAAAAATCAACATTAAAAATTAACACACAATATTGAGATAAAACTCCAATCTTAATTAAAAAATAATTATAAGAGAACCTATATTACAACACTTAGGTTATATCCTCATAAACATAAACCGTCCAATCATAGCCAACTACAAGGAATCCGGGTATGCTTTTAAACAGGTTTGGGGGGTTTGACTGGATCGGCCAATGGTCCAGTTTACAATGAATCCCTTTTTAAAATTAATTTAATCATATTTTCAAATCACTGATAATGACAGTAAGGGGAATATTCATAGAAGTTATTTCTGTTAATGTCAAAGTTGAGAAAGAATCAGTTGGAACTAATTACCTGTTTCCTTTTCTTTTTAATTAGTGCAATTTTCCCCTCTTACTTGAAATCAATTCAAATTTTTTGGAGTATGTTTTTCTTCCTATATCCATTTGGCTTTAAACTTATATGTTAAAAGAAGTAACGCATTTGACTTACTGTTCATTACATCTCCGCTATATGTGCAGTTTGGTACCATGGTTTTGTAACTTTTGTTCCAAAAATACATGAACTTTTCTTCAGTTTTAATATTATTTTAAAAATAAACTATACGTCCGATTGAAAGAGAGAATAACAGTTGGATGTGAAATGAAAAACATGGAACAAGGACCCAGTTTTAAAATGCTGCCAGGCCTATTATTTTTGTTATTCCAGCTTTAAACGACTGCAATAAATATACAAAGGAATGCAATGATTTGTCACGATGATAGGAATATAGATTCATTTGAACCCAATAGAGGGACACAGTACAAATTTGATTGATTGCCAACAATGATATGTCAATATGATTACCAAACTGTATAGCTAGCTGTGTTCGTGCCTTCAGCTTCATTTGGAAACATAAACCCTTGCAATTATTTCTTTTTGATTTGGCCTCTGCTCTCATTGAAACCAAAAACCAACTAAAACACCACTTGGTCAAGGGAAAGTACCTTAATACGCCACCCTTATTGTTGACCAAAAAAACATCCAACCTTATTGACATAGGTACTTCTAAAGCATTGTAAACCACGATATCTGGGGCCCTTTATAGACTTGTTATCAATTTAAATACTATAGAATATCATTAGCACAGCATTATATAAGATTGAAATGACATATCTGTGTTTTGTAGTCAACCAGAGACATTTTTTTTTTCAATTTCTCCATTTTCTTCCAAGTTTCCATGGGAAGAAAATTTGCCAAGTTGTGAGCAATAGTGTGTGTATGAATCGTGTGCAAGGTTCTGCAGAACACAAGAAACATGTTTAAGTTCACAACCCAAATGATAAACTAATGCTTTGAGGATTCGGAAGATGAGGTAAGGAAGTGAAGGTGATCTGAATACCTGTTCCTGAGAGCGGAAATACATAAAGGGTGTGTAATATAAAAAGTTTGACACCCTAGAGGTATATATATCTGCATACCTGCAATTGAAATATATTTAAACAGTTCATTTTCAAGAAAGTGCATAGTCTGGTGTAATAGAATCAGGGGAGTCCAGAAGAGAGCACGCACTTCTCAATTTGTCTCATCAAGTGACTTTTATCCCACAAACCAGCACGTGAAAGATAACCCCACCTATTGTAGGCAGATACACCAGGTTAATATCATAGGCAAGGGGTAAAAATAACTGAAATGCAACAAGCAGCATATAAGTTCATTGTTACAATGGCCAATCTGCTTTTCTCTCTCTTACTACAGTGAAGGAAGAACAAAATAATGAAAAATAGAAGAAAAAATGTTGCCAATTTATTGCAACCTTTTGGAAGTACAAAATATGGATTACTACAATCTACGTTCACATGCTATTTTAATAATATTTTGCATGATGATTTTGCATTTTAGATGCTTATGGCATGCTTATTCTAACATAACAAGTTAATCCTCGGGAGGGGAGAAAATAGTAGTTTTGGCCAGATGCATGAAAGAAGAGTTGAGTATTTTAGAAAAATGCACGGGACATGTTGACCAAATCAATCATCAATCACAAATTCTTTCCCATGGCTAATCAATAATAAGAATAAACAGGGTCTGTGTACAGATATGTTGCAGAAATCAATAATAGCTGAGTGTGATAGAGAATTTCTATATCAATAACTCCGTACTTTGAACATACCTTTTGTTGAAGAGCTCCCCTTCTGCCTCTAGCATTGGAGCAATTTTTTCATCAAGTCTTCGCATAACAATAAGTAGCTTTTGCATGCTTTCAGTAAGATTTTCATCATCCATTTTAGTTGCAGCAAGAGTCTTTCAATACACAGAAAATCTTGATATCAATATTAACAAATACATGTTGCCAATATGCCATTCTTGAATAATATTCATATTAAATTATCTGGTTTGGTTAAAAAAAAAAAAAACAAAAACATGTAACACAATGGCATAGTCTATAACACCACATCGAGAGCCAATTTAAATGCGGTTAATTGATCAAGTCTTTGCACAAAAAGAAGTAGCTTTTGCATACTTTCAGCAAGGGTTTTGTCATCCATGTCGCAGCAAGGGTCTTCCAGTACATGGAAAATCTTAATATCAACATTAATGAAAACATATGCCATCCTTGAAATTTTGCTCATTAAATTTATCAGGTACAGTTCAAAATGAAACATGTAACACAATGGCATATTCAATAACTCAAAATAGAGAGCCAATAAAGTAAACAAGGATAACCTTGGGATAATTTTCACCGTATTTTGAGTTGTATGAACATGAGAAGTTCAGTTGAAATTTGAAAAGTAACGTCAAGATATGGAAGGAAAATTCATTCCACTCCTATAAGCACATACCAGGTTTAATACTATAAGAACAAACCAGCTTAAATAGAGTCATTGTGAGAAGGTTAATGACTGCATTGGATGATCAAATTTAGCTTAAGAAAGTAAAAGAAAAGAAATGAGGCAACAAAACATCAGCAGAAGTGAAGGTTGATCACGTGAGCAAAAATGTAAAATGCAAAATAATATTCTTAATCAACAATGGGTAGATTTATGTGTCCAATAAGCCATTGAATATACAATATATAATGAATAAAGGACCAAACTTACCTGTGCAGGACGCCCTTTACTTCGCCTCTGTAGAGCCAGACGTAGTTGGTTAAAGAGATCACCTACTACCTCCTTTTGATTTATAAGCTCCACCAATGCTTGTCTATGACTCCGGCCATGAATTAGGGCACTATACTGCAGTTTGAACATTTTATAAAGCACAAAGAAATTTCACCTTTGGAAACCAGTTGATAACTTAATGTTAACAAGCATTCATATCATTTTTCCTTTCTCAAGATGAGTTCATATATATATATAAAAGACAAGATCTTTTCATATTAGTATAAATTTAAAAATTCTTACAATTAATCTGAACCTTTCATTTAATTTGTATCTAACAATTATTGAAGTAATAAATTATAACCCGTTAGATGTAAATTAAATAAAAAATTTAAATTGAATGTAAGAATTTTTAAACTTACATTAATGCGAAAAGATTCTTCCTCTATATATATATTTCAGCTAAAGAGAAAAATGAAATTTTATAGTGCATAATTAAATCACAATCAAAATATTGTCATTGCATAAATTGATTGTACTAACCTCATCTTCTAGTTCTCGACAAATCAATGCTGTTCGCCATCGCAAATGGACTTTGGATTGACTAACATCAGTGTAAATATGGTCTCCAACATACAATATCTCATCTCCATGTATATTTAGGGAATTTTCAACCATTTGTGCGCTTCCACCTGAGTATAAACCACCTGCAGATTATGATAAACAAAATATAACAAAGCTAAATCATCTAAAAAATAACTTCAAATGTAGCACATCACAAAGTCAATGCATTGTCCATATTCACAATAAAATTAGAAGCTCAGTTATGTTCGGCACAAACTAACACAGGTTATTTAAGTGGTATTATGGTCATGAGAAATACAATAAAAAGCAGTTCAGTCATTCCATCTGATCAATTCTAGAATAAAAAGAACTAAGAACTCGATAATTAATTGTACGTTGTAAAAAACGTCATTAGTGGGAATGGTCAATGAATACAAGGATAACTACAAGGATATGTAGTTACTCATTAAATAATTAAACAACATATAATCTACCCTATTTATAATATCAACACATTTTACGTTATTTACACCTTTTCAACTTGGAGCATATAAATTATCTATACCAAGCTTGTTATATACATAAATAAATCAAGGACCTCTTAATGACTTGGTGGAAACATTTACTAGTTAATCATTTGACTTGATGAATCTAGTAGTATGTCTCTAAATAAAATATTCTCTCTAATAAAATGACAATCAATCTCAATATGAAATGTTAGATTTGAAACAATATGTAAGGTCACTTGATTATCACAAATAAACTTAATTTGATTATCACAACATCATATTGAGAGACAGTATACAATTATGAACATATGTATGTATACTCTACTATGTAACCATGTTAATTAGGATAACTATACATCATTGTAATTATATTTATGACTCCTAATATAAATATATGCTTTGTTATGTAATTAAGACAGATTCTTTTGTATGTCTATAATTTTTAATTCCTCACTCAATAATTTATATTTCTTGAATTTGAGTTTGGCTTAACTCAACTCCAAAAATTAGCTTGTAAGATGATGATTATCTTTCTTTTATAAGTTCCACTTTGGTCATATCTATAGTTTATGGGATCTTCACAATAATGGGCCTAAATCCTAGATTATATCAGTTATGAATGTATATGATATGACAATACCAAAGTATAAATAAATAACCTTTCTCCCTTGTTAAAGGATTGGAATACTACCTCTTTTAGTTGGTAACACTTACTTTCCACTTAAAGACAAGTAGTAAATTCATTTTTTACTTTTCTTGTTTGTTCCTGTTTTTTTTCTTTTGAATTAAAATATGTAAGGAATAGTATTCTAGATAACACTTGAGTTGATATTTTAAACTATAAGGGAAAAGTTTGAACTAACTTGCAATCTTCTTTATTAGAAAATAATAACATTCTTAAACTTCGTGGAAAAGCAATGAAACATGCAATATGGGACCATAAGGATTACCAATTACCAGTTTCAGCCTTGAAGCATGGACGCATCAGGCCCTCATCTGTCACCACTTCATACATGGGGTGTGACATTTGGAAGAATTCTGGTTTCTTTGCTGACACAATTACCTACATATGAATGAGAACCACATTAATCCACTATCAAGAGGATAACTTCATATTGTATCAACAGTTTACAAGAACTTACAATGTCAAATAAATCTCGCCAACCCATGTCATTAGGAAGGAATCTATTAAATGAATGATGCATCATTTTGTCTGTATAATGATAATCTGAGTTGGTAATAAGCAGGAGTTTTTTGCCTGCCTGTTTCATGAAGACAACCAAGTAATGAGTAGAATTACATCATGTGCAATGCAAAGATAACATACCACAGGCAATACCTCCTTCTGATCCAAAAGTGCCACGGGTAATTCTGGATCAGGCTCTACAAACTGTTCAGGGTTAGACATAATCTCACTCTGCATAAATTCAGCAAGTCATTAGGTGCAAATAAAGCACAATATAATCATATCTTCCTAGACAACCACAAGACATGAATGTGTTCACCTTGAGGCGTCCTTCTACATGTGCCCTGAAGAGAGCTTTTACTACAGCCTGCAACTCATGCCAAAAGTGAAAAAAGGAACATTCTAATCAAATATAATGATAAGAAAATATTTGTCCACTACCTTATAAAGCCCTTTATAATCAAAGGAGCCAAGATTGCATGGTATAATCCCATCATCCAACTTGTCAACCAACTGAAAAAAATGACATTAGTAAAGTCTCATCCAAGTCAAATGTCAAAACAAATTTAAAGTGGACACGTCTAAAATAGATGCTCATAAAATAGGTGACCCTTTAGTCACAGGATAAGAATCAAATAACAAAGGCTGCTTACTAGAACTGCTTCATGTTAAAACTACACATCATAATATCTCAGAACACTCACTTGGACCTATTAACTACTTGAATGAATAAAACATTTGGAATCCCTAGTTAACTAATAGAGTCGACTAAGGAGACTTGGTAGTTTCACCTCTGCATGCCCTATTAGAGCTCATAGATATAGCTAACAACACTCAATTTTAAGACACTAATACAATCTATCACCCTTTCCAGGGATTTAAAAAAAGACAGATAAACTAAAATTTAAATGCTCCTGCAAAATTGTGGCTGAATATAGTTCCAGTAAACTTTTAGAGGTATTCAACAACAATCAAAATATACCTGCATATATGCCACAGCTTCAGACACAGAGAAAAATGTGTTGAGAAATTCCCATCGACTCTCCTGCCGCAGGTCCACTAGTTCTCTCCCATACATCTCACTTTCATGCACATAAAATTAACACTACAGAAACTATTACTCCAGCAATATGAAGGCTATATGAAGTCAATGTGGAAACTATTGAAATTATGGGGGAGGGGGGGAGATTAGGTACTGGAGGAGTAAAAGACAAAAATAAAGACTATATGATGTGTTAGGTGTGTTCTGATGTAACAGATGTCATACAAAAGATAAAACACTGTTGAAATCCCACATTGACTACAAAATGGCCAAAGTAGTGCTTATGAAAGTTATGACAATCCTCACCTTACAAGATAGTTTTAGCAACATGGGGTCTTTCAGATATACTAGAGACTTGGGGTAGTTGTGTTGGAAAGGATTAAGTTAGGCCCAAACCCAAATTTAAGATAGTGTAAGAGCCTATTGTGAATCTGACATTGAGCAACCTCAACCATAAAAAAATGACCTAGCCCCACAAATTTTTCAAATGCAATTAACCTAATTCTGTGAGTTTCCTAGTGCATCCCACTTGGCCTACACTTTTCCAGTGCAATATAAAAGAATAAATAATTAGTCATACAATCTCCACACTCGAAATGTCAAATCTAGGCTTGCGGGGTGTGTGGTGAGATTGAGATATCCCTCATCAGTGACAAAAATATGACTGAAGTAATACTAATAAAGACCCTTATTCCTAATTAAATAAGGGAAATTATGAGATAATTAAGAGTATGAAAACTATAGAAAACTATGTTTACTGAATATGTTGTGTCTAATATAGACCACACAATATAAATTTATACTCATTTACAGAATCAAATACAATTAATTTTTACCTAATAATTAAGAATTAAATCTGTAATATCTAAGAGTATTTACATTCTAACAAAAACCAATCCTAAAATACTCTATAAATCATTCTATGATACAATTCATATATTATTTATTAGAGATAGTTTTTATATTCTAACTTAGCTTATTACAACTAAAAATACTGAAAGAAAATAATCTAAAAATATAATTTAATGGCAAGGAAACAAGATAAAATTGCATCTTGGACTAGACTCAAAGTGGATAAAAGATGGGACAGCTAGATTTTATCTAGGATCAGAAACGGGCTAAACTGCACATTCTGAAGGACAAAACTGCATTCGGAGATGGGACAATGAGAGACAATCTAGACTATACAGCTAGGAAAACAAGAGATTATATCTAGGATTGGAGTGTTAGATTGCATTTGAAAGTAGGGATGGAACTATCTAGCATCTGGGATCAAAGATGAGATAAATCAGAGTTGAACCAGACTACAAATCTAATGGAGTCAATCTATGAAAAGATAGGGACAAAACAAAGTCAATATGCAAAAAAAGGATGAATGGAAAAGTTGGAAAGATAGCACCAACTTGCAGCAAAACAAGTGCATGGATAACATTATGAAATCACAGGAGTTTAGGTATTGAGGGAGGAAAAGCAGAAAATAGAGACTAAATGACATGTCAAATATGATATGATGTGACAGATGTGATGTAAAAGACAATGTTAATCCCTATTTATATTTCTACAAAACCCTTAATCTTAATTAAATAAAGATAAATCATGAGATGATAAGGAAATTTAAAATTTGATCCTAAGATACTAGAAACTATACTAAGATATAATCAAGATATTGCTGAATATTTTTCGGATATTCTAACAGAAACAGTAGCTAATCCAGTGATTATGTAATATGCACAAGTAAAGTTAAAGGAGTACTAAACTCTACTGATCCAATAAACGATAAGGAATGCTTGTGAATTAGGTTTTCGAGGAAAAGGGAGAGAGCAAATATTTTATTTTTAAATTAAGATAGTTATGTAATGTTTTTAAAGTAAATAAAAGATCAACACATTAAGTTTATATCAATCTATTATTTTATTTTAAAAATTTATGAAATTAGAGAATATTTATTAGAAATGAAAAATGTCTCGCCCTCTTTTCCCTTTTGAAAATCAACTCCGAAACTTAACAGTGGTACCTTGACTTCAAGATAACTGAACATATGACTGCATTGTGTCTTCTGACTCAACTTCGATATTGCAAGGTTTGTTGATTATATAACAAATTCACAAGAAAACTATGCACATATTTCTATAATCAAAATTCAGAATCACAAAGCTCAACACATACCTCACAGCACGAGTAGATAACATTTTGGTTCCATGCATGACTCTCTTTATATAACCAAATCGATCAGCTTTAACCAAATTGCCTCTCTCTTTATCTATGACAAGGCCTCTAATAACCTGAAAGGCATAATGCAATGCAAATATTGCTTGGACAAATCAGAGATAATAGTAATACAATAAAGTGCAAAATGCTTCAGCTTGCAAGAGATAACATGTTACCAGGTCTGGATCAAATGCAAGTCCATCAACAGGGAAACCCATATTCTTGAGGTTTTCCATACAGTAATCATAAGCCCGCCCTTCCCAAGCCTGTAAGAACTTGTATCAACATCAAAGAAGTCCATTTACCAGAATACATACACTAAATAACCTATAGTTTCAGGTAATGCTTAAAAATAAGACCTCTTTCATACTTAATATTTGATGTACATATACAAGTAAAAACTTTCAGCAGAGTAAGGAGAAAACAATCTGTACTTTCACTTCTGTGGTACACTGTCAAAATTAACAAATGCCAAAGAAAGAATTTTCATTTAAAAATTCATATGATGCCCAATCACTGTTTGCATCACATTTGTATAACCTAATTCAAAAATTACAAATATTACTTGTACTTTTATTTTTTTGTTTAAATATATGACATATAATACAAGTGAAGATTAGGCAAAGTTATATGTGCAAGCTTAGCAGTTAAATTAAAATGGTTCACAAAAACTATATATCTCATAAAATTATCGATGTATCTTAGAGTATATAAGATTATCTTGGATGATCTTGTAGGAATAGTTTCCATTTTTTAATAAACAATTTACTAAGGTAGAAAAGAGAGGTCAAATGCTAGGACACAAGATCCTCAAGAGCTACTACAACAACAACAATAAAGTATTATCCCCTTAGGTAAAGTCGGTTGCATGGATTATACGGTGCCATTCAGTTCAATCATAAACTAAATTCTCAGAAATATTATTAACCAACATATTTCTTTTAATAACTTCCTCTAAGGTTATAGGCATCCCTCTACTTCTTTTTACTAGACTAAAAGTTATGTCATCCATTTTCCTTATTGGTGTTTTCAAGTATTTTTTTTACATATGACCAAACTACTTTAGATGATTTTTAATTATCTCTTCCATTATAGATGCTATCTCAATATTTTTACATATACAATTATTTCTTATTTTGTCATTTCTCATATAATCACTCATCCACCTTAATATTCTCATTTCTATTCCATGTAAGCCATTTTCTTTTGTAACGATGTTTTTCAATCAACTTTTGTAATATATATATATATATATATATATATATATATATATAACTTTTGCTATAAATCTCTATGATATAAAACTAAATAGATTTTCTATAATTTTAGTTGCATCTCGTAATCTATGTTTAATTAATTTTTTTTTCACAACTTTATAGTGCGATTCATAATTTTAATCCATTTATAGTTCACACAATTTTGAATATCACTCTTGTTTTTGTATATTGAAACCAAAATATTCTTCCTCTATTCATCTAACATATTTTTAAATCTTAAAATCTTATTAAAGAGTTTAGTAAGTCATTTAATTCTTTGTTCTCCTAAACATTCTCTAAATTTTAAAACGGATATTATTGGGGCCAACTGCTTTCATTGTCCATCTTATGAATTTCCTTTATTTTTCAAACAAATTTTACAATAATGATAAATTTAGATCATTCACTTGCACTTCTAATCTTGCTATATTTCCATTTACACCTTATCCATCGTTAAAAAGGTTTATAAAGAGTTTTTCCATCAGCCTTTGATGTTTTGATATGTAACCAAAACTTTTTTCTCTTCATTCTTAATACATTCAACTTGGTCTAAATTTTTAGATTTTCATTTTCTACTTTTGCCAAGAATAAAAAAGGAGAAAAAGAGCTCAAAACTAGAAATATGCAATGCAACATGCCACTCTCTCTGAAGATCATACAAAAATGCCACTTCAAAAAGGACCATTGCAAAACACCACAAAGATGCTAGGTGAACTGCTCCATCTCAAATAAACTCAAGAGACAACCAACAATCAATAAAGATTCCAGCATTTCTTTTCAAACAGATGCAACAAATATCTTCAATTTGAAAACAGCACCAAAGCTTTTTAGCATCCCTACTGGTGCAAAATCCTCTAAAATTAACAGAAAAGAACAGCCGGAGATCCTTGGGGCAAACCCAATCCTCACTTAAAACACCAATGACCAAACAAGTTATATTTCATTATACTTATTGAATTGTTTCTGTATTTGACTAGGATTATGAGTCAATTACTAGAATAAAGAGGGGTTTAGTGTTTCATCTATTTTATTACATCGTTATTCACAAGAAAATATTATAGTGTCTTTTTTTCTCTTTTCCTTCTTTCATACTTAAATCCCTATAATTTCAATGATTACCTTCACATTATAATGCATCAAGGTATAATCCATGTCATATCCGATGGCACTAATGGATCGTAGATTCAGTGTCCGAGTGCAGAATATTCCACGAGGTGAATTTCTTGATGAATAAGGACTCTGCATGAGGACACTAAAGAATATTGTTTACTTAATGTAAATTTATAAAGCTCCCAGCCAAAATCCAAACAGACAAGAGTAAGAGCATAAAAATAGAGAGACAAAGTGAGCTGGCCAGCAACAATTGTGAAAAAAACAACTATTGGTAAAAGATATATATTATGCCCAAATCTTGAGGTAAAATAAAATAGATAATTATTAATCAGTTCATTAATTGAAAGGGAAGAAAAGTAATGGTTCAAATTGCACAAATGTACAATGACAACAAATTAATTTACCACATAAAAATCTCATTATCATATACAACTTTCTCAAATGTGGCACACCTTTGTGGCCAGGTTACTGTATCCTAGAGTGATTTTGGTCCCTCAATAATGTTTTGCTCCAATTAAGTCCCCTAATTTTTCCAATTAAACAAATCAAGTCATTCCATCAGTCTGTCATTCAATTACAAATGGAAATAATTAATGCAGCATGGCACACGATTTTCAGATGCAACATAATTTGGTACCGAGTTGGTCATTTAAAAGGACCCACTGTGACATGTACGACTAAAATGGATCAACTAGTATAGTAAAACTAAACATAAAGAAACCAATGGATGATGCACTTTAATCCCACATCTCACAGTGAGTTCTTTTGGATGACCAATTAAAGAATTTTGTATTCCACATCTAAGAATCATGAGCCATGTCAGTTATTTTCCTTAAAAACTGGATTGCAGACTAACAGGACTTGATTTGTTTAATTAGAAAAATTGGAGGACTTGATTGTAGCAAAAAAATATTGGGGGACAAAAAATTGCACAAATAGAAGAGGAACCAAACGTAAAAGTAATTCTATAAGAAAATTACATTGAAGTCTCAAGTTTGTGAAACCTATCACAATTCCTCCTCTGGTTACATATTATACAAAGGCCTGCATTTAGTTGTTTATTAAGGTTGTTGAAAAAGTTATGCAAGGAGTATATGTTTATGAAAGAAAAACAATCATATAGAATGTAATTGTCTCATGAAAAAGAACAATTGAAAAGGAATAGGCCAATGCATAACTAGGTAATGGGTTGGTTGCAACTTGTAATTTGCATAGGCTTCACAAACTGCATAAGGGGAGGTATGTGTAATTTACTCTATAACTATTCATTTTGAGACTCCAAAAACATAAAGCTAGTAGGTCTAATGCACCGGAATATCCAATTTTTTCAGTAAATCATCAGCTTCTCTAGCTTCTGTTCTGGCCACCTCCTCTATTGGACCTTCTAATGCAGCATGTCCATCAATTCCTACAAGGGAAACCAAGATCATTGCAACCACAACCAAAGATATATATTTGATTATCTGTAGTTAATATCAATAATTTATGACAAAAGGAACAAATTACAATATCCTTGTTCTAACAATTTTAAGGATGAATAGGGAGGGATAAGCCTTAAAATTTTTCCTCCCAGATTGGGGCATAAACAGAGAAAACATGGTATTTGAAATTAAACAACCAAATACATTTTTCCTTCTTGATTTATATCCATGTCTACTACATACCCAACCGAAGTTTGGTTTGAAGAAAATGATACTTTAGTTGAATCCAATAAGCTCAAGATAATTAAAACTAAACTTTGGGTGGGATTTAATGAGAATGGAAAAACCATATTTTTCTAACAATAAGGTCATATGATGTGTGTGTGTGTATGTGTTCCATTTGATTCAGTTTAAAAATCAGTATTTCCATTTGAAACCAAATTTTAGGAGGTTAAGTGATTACAATAACAACCAAGTCTTATCCTACTAGGTGAGGTCGGTTACATAAATCAAGCAATGCCATGAAGCTCGATTAAAAACTAAATTAAACAAGGGAAACAGCCCAGGCCTGAGTCGTTCCCTCTAGCGCAAATGTTTTATAATAAAAATTACTGATTCTATATGTAATTTTTGTGGGGGGGAAATATTTTGAACTTGGACCCTAGTATTTTTCTCTTTGGCTGCCTTATAAAAAATGTCTAGCTCAGCCCTTCAAAATATTTCCCCTTCACCCTTCCTCTACACTTCAAATTTAACTCTCAAAGAAGTCAAATGACTCCTTCACTGCCTTCCTTCCCTTCTTCTAACAAGAAAACTTCAGGGGAAAGTTGAGCAAGGGTTATACATAAGGGAAATAGTTTCCCTTCTATTCCATTCAACTTTAACTCTCAAACAAGGGAAAGAGAATTCCCATCCTCTTCTTACATAAACATTCAAACAAGGCAAAGTGACTATTCTTTCATCCCCTACTTTCCCTTCCATTCTACTAAAAACTATCAAACATAACACATCTATAATACTTGATAGAGAGAAGATCATTGCAAATCATACACACCTCTTAAATCCATGACTAGAAATTAAAACCTTGTTAAAGATGCACACAAAATTGTACAAGACATAAACCAAATCTTCCTCTACCAAACCATACATCATTTCATTGTTTAGACAAGTAAGTAGTTCCATATATAGTGGAGAGGGGATTATGCCCCAGAAATACTTAACTTATCATGGACTACAACATGGACCTCAATAGAATGAGCCTAACACCAAGCCCAGCCCATTTTTAACTAAGCCTAAGCTTCATACCTAGCAAGCGTGGTTATGATACAATACACATATGATATGATGAGGACATGAAGATGTGGCAACGTTTGAAAAAACATAGCACATGACATGGCTATTATACAACATATATAATTAACATAGGACACAAATCTTAACCCATAATCTCAGAATTGATTCTTTAAAATGAGAATGAGTCATTATAGACATAATAAAATCCTATAGTTTATCTAATTATTGTGATATCTCATCTGTATTAGTATAAAAGTTTAATATTAAAAGCTATACTTATTATAATGTAACTAGGTGTATTTGAAGTGTCTATGAACTGTCCAACATGGATACAATACAAACATGGCCTACTGTTTTGAAGTGTTCTTGCTCCTTTGCTTTATACCAACTCGTGTAATACTAATGGATCATTGAATCAACAAAACATTTTGACAGAATGAGTTGGCATGCTTCTCGGAGAGAAGAGTGGCAAAACAAAAGATCCAACTAATGAGTTACCTAAGAGAACTTGTTAAGGAAAAAAAATGAAAGCATTAAACATCGGAACTTAAAATTCTTTACTTTTCATTCAATACTTTCCATTTTTTAATTATTTACAAGTTCCCTAACATGGCTCATTAGCATTTGCCAAATTCAAAAGTTCTAATCAATTAAGCACACAATCCATTTTCCAATAAAAGGAAATGAACCAGCAGTTGGTAGCAAGGAAGTTACAACCAAAGAATCATGTTACAACCAAATTCACCACCCTGTGACAGAACAAGCGAAATCCATCTAACCTGGTTCTGTCCAGTACATTGACGAGCAAAATCAGCACTACAATTCAACCATAAAAGCCCACTGTCCATGACCAAGGGTAGGTACCGAAACATAGATTAATTAAGCGCTTACTCAATAAGTTTTTATTACATAAGGCGAGTGTCTATTGTCGTTCTTATATGTCTATTGTGTTCTTATTTAAGCCATTTTTGTCTAAAAGATCATTTTTTTTTCTATCTTATAACCGCATTAATAATAGGAGTGGGAATAAAATATGGGAGTGGCAATAGACACTCCCCATAAGGGCTCATGTCATAGATTTGACCATAAAACTTTCTAGAATAAGCTAGAAAGAGCTTACTTTAATAAACGATATTAGAAGCTTATTAAAATAAACTAAAAGAAGCTTTCGGAAGTTATAAATTAATTTCATTAGCTCCTCGCAAGACACAAGAAACATGGAACACCGTGCAGCTGAACATAAACATATAATCACACAACTCCAACAGAACAACACACCACTCCACACAGCACAAACAAAAAAACTGAAGTATATGGAACAGAACACAAAACGGTAACGGATGAAGTTGAGAGTTTTACCAAAAGCCTCGAGGTGCTCCACCTTAACGTTCAAGTTCCCTTTGGTGCTTTCGCCAAGATAATCGACGTCGCAGCTATTGGAAGGCGTAACGGAGAAAACGCTCCCGTCATTGACTTGGTTAGAGTCAACGGAACAGAGACAGAGCGTGGAAGCGTGTATAGTGAGTTCTACATTGAAAAAGGCGTTACGGGAAGTGGGTCCGTTTTTGAAGCAGTTAGTTGGAGAAACATGGAGGGGTAGGGAGAAGGGCTTAGCGACGAACATCTGCGTGGGAGTGCAGTGGCGGCGGTGGCGACGGTGGCGATGGAGGTTTAGTTGGCGGGAGAACAATGGAAAACAGAATCTGTGTTCTTCGGAACGCAGAAAGTGAGTGACAGCATGGAGATTGGAGAATCAGTTCACATTTCATTCAACTATTTCATTTTTCTATTCCCCCGTCGTGTCAATGTCGTTTTCTAACTTCTTATTTAAGTGAAGAGTGAAATATCCCAAAATATAAGTTTAACTTTGAGGGCTTTCTACTTATTTTATATTTATTTTTTATTCTCAAATTATTCTACTTGTAATTTTCAATTTTAAAATATGTTAATATTTAAGCATGCTGAGATATTAGATTTTTCCTTTTAAAAAATATAGTTTTGTTATTAACGATGAAGAGTGAAATGTGAGAATAAATAAATAAAAGATTAATTTTTAAGGTTTTTTTCTATTGAAATCCTTTTGAATACTTATTGGAGCTGCATGATCATATGTTAGCCTGGAAAACTTTCTACTAATTAATCCACCATGGTCATTAAAATTTATATTTCTTACTTATATATTTTTAAACATTTTTTATTACATAATTTAAAAAAAATTAACTGTTAAATTAAATTTTTTAATTATATAGATAATATTTGCAAAACTTTAGATTAATCTAAAATTGTTTAATATAATTTTTTATATCAAAATTGATATAATATATATATATATATATATATATATATTTGAAATGTATAAATATAATATATTTTCATTTTATTTTTACTTTTGATAAAATTTGACACGGGCAATTAAGATAATATATAATTAAATTTAATCATTATATTAATAAAAAGTATATTATGTATAAAATTATTGATCATATAAAGATGAGTATAATTTATATACTTATACCAATATAATTTAATTTCTCCTCTATATATATACATTAAGTGTTAAAAATTCAGTTTTAAGAATACTGATTTCTTAATATAATGGCAATTTGTTTTTACTTAGGAAATGGACCTTCGGTAACTTGTAAATTTACATTTCACTTGATTTGTTTATCAATCGTTTTTCATATGGATTTTAGTTTATTATTTATATTTTATTGGAATTTTTAAATTAAATATATCTTATATTTAATTGGGATTTAAATTATATTTTTATCCTATTAGAATTTTAGTTACTTTGATGGGGATGAATTGTGCAGTAGTACTCGCTTTGGTCAAATTCCACTTAGGGATCAAATGATTGGCTTTGCTGTAAAGATAAATTGGCTGCAAAACACTTTCAAAATTGTTTTTGTTGATGCAACTCCTAACCAAATACAATATCATTATCGAGCATGTATATTATGATTGATTGGAGGTTCATCTAATATATTTATCGTTAATGGAATATTTTGACAGTGCTGGATGATATACTTCAGGTTCAGCATGTTTGACCAAGCTATATAGAGAACTATGCATTGGTAGTGCTCAAAATACAAAAGCTATAGGTGGATGCATGTGGCTTTTACCATCTTGGGAATGGTACCAATTATCTTTTATTTGTACTGTTATAAGGGATGGTTTACTTGCAAAAAGCACTCCAACTCTCAATTAAGTGTTTGCACTTATTTGTGCATTTGGGTGTTGGCTTCAAGTCTCATTGAGTGATACTAGATCAACATTGAAACCTCACTCTTCCAAAGACTAACCTCTCTATTTCAAGGCAAAGGAGGCATTGATGAAAATAAAATAATTTTTATTCATCTTCTATTAATTCGATAACACCTTGAGGTGCTAACTAATTCATTTAAAAACAAATTTATTTTAAAGGAATTATTTTTCACTAAATAATGGACCAACATTGCAAACCCCCCAAACAAGGCACCCATTATAAACTACAACAGATATATTATAGATATGGGATCACAAAAATTGATTTTGGAAAATATTTTTGAGATGCTTGTATATAAAAAGATAAAAAAAATATAGATCATTATATACGATGTTGAATATATTACTAATATTTCTTGTGGTGCAGCCACCTTAATAATGCAAAGTGCTTTTTACTATCATTCTTTACTATGGTTGGTAAATCTGAGCAAGTCAAAAGTCTCATTATATTCAGCAAATTAACTGTTGCAAAAAGAGACAAAATTTTAATAGTAAAAAGGGTTATATACTGTCAAGTTTGGTTCAGATACTAAAAACAAATCGATGAAGACATCTGCTGATGTCTCCCATCTTAAGATACTTTTAATTAAACTCAGGTACCAACCAAAAATGGGATGAATTTTATGGGCACACCCGTTTATTGCAACAGACATAGAATGATAAGCACGTGAATTCAAGTGCAAAATTGCGAAAGACAAGGCATTTCAAACAAAAATAATGACATTTCTTAAATCACAACCGCAGTAACAAATGGCACCTCGTGTGATGTGAAGTCACAACTAACCACCCCAGGCAAAGTTTGAACATTTTCTTATATATTTCAAGTATTCCTTCAAAGGGAAATCACCTACTCAACCCCCTAACACTCCTCCCCCATTTACTTTCTCTACATCTTATATTTTCTACTCTTTCTCATAACCAAGATCAATTGAAGCAAAGATACATACATAAAAATATTCTCCCCAGCTTATTGGTTGGACTAGTTTCAGAAAGCTTTTCAAGGTGCCTTTCTCTTTTACCCTGTCTTTATATGTGAGCATATGTGTGTAAAACCATTCACCATATCCATTTTTAGCCTTAGGCCGTGCTTATTAGTGACCAATTCCTGCATGCAACTAATATATGCTCATCTTTCTATCTTTTTTTATGACAACGAGGAGTTTTGGTTGTCAGAACTGCAATATATCTGTGAAATATACATGGACCTTATTGGCATGTACTTGCTCAATTATTTATGATTCACATGAACTAATTTTAAACACAGATATTAACTACATCATCTTTCTCTGAAGTTTAAGCATCTTTCTGACATAACTGTTTGTGATATAAGTTTGTTGTTACTCCGACCCTTCTCAACAGTGAAAACTGCAGGCTCAAATTTTCCTCATAATCAGTGCAAATATATTTGTTTGTCTTTTAGTTTCAATAAGAAAAATGTAGTTTTCTTCCCTACTGACACCATACAGCAAAGTAACCAAAAGTTAACATTACAAGAAAAGAATTTTTGAAATTATAAAACTGATGAACATAAAAGTATATGTTATGTCTAACCTTAAATTGGGTTTGATGAGAGAAACTTCAGAATAACACTATCATCACACATTTATACATATATAACATGGAGAGTTTTCACTATCTAATTACAATAAAGACTACTCTATATTCTCCACCTCTTTCTATACTTTGATTTAGCGACACAAGTGATCTATAGTTACCATTTTTCAAGACTATAACGAAGAAATAAGCTCAAGTGGGTCCTCAGGTCTCTACATAAGACAAACATGTGACTAATAAAGGTGTTGTTTTGTGTTTGCCCTTATGGAAGACGTGGTACCAAGAACTGCTTTGTAATGTGGGTAGTGTGTGGTGGCTCTAAATATAGCAGTTGCAGCTGCTACTCTTTTCTCTCTCACTTTCATACACGATTGATCACATACAGTTGCATCATTCATGAAGCTCCTTCAGGTTTCACGTATTACCCTTTTCACCAAGCCAAGTGCTTGATGAGAAATATTTTATGAGAACCTCCTTTGCATTCACACGAGGCTTGACAAACTTTCCCCAACTGTTAACAAATTGAACACGTCAAACTCCATTTCACATTTTGAGACACTCTGCCAGTGAGGTAAATTACATTATATATATTCAGCATTTGTTTTTTGAATTTGTCTAAATTACTCAGAGAGTAAATAACCCTATCCTAGGTGGACTAACAAAATAGTGTGGTGAAAATTGTATAAATTTTTTGCTTTTTTATAAACAAAATCTCATTAGTCTATTTAGGATCCACAAGATGAACTTAAGAGAACCTTTCTTAAGATTTGGAGGGAATGCAATAAGAGTAATCCATTCATTCCTCATAAATTTCACTTTACTTGGTTCGAATAGGATTTTCTAGCTTCAATTCTAATGCAGTGACCCGTACAAATTATGTGTTCATATTTATCAAGGCTTACTGAAGAATTGAACTCTTTAACCAAAGTCTAGAAGTCTAAAACGCATATAGGTTTATCCTAGTATTCTTGGTGAAGAGTCTTTGTTGTTGAAAGCAAAAAGGAACTTGCTAGTATTTTTCTATGCTTTAAGTGCATTAAGGAAGGAATTGGCGGCTAAAACTCATGATACCCTCTCCCCTTTTGTGTCTTTCAGTGCGGAATGTTGAGAATACATAGCTCTTTCTTTAACTTTTTCTATTGTTTAATAGTAATTTATGGGATTCTTGAGTTTTGAGAGTCTTGAACCTATATCTTAGATTTGTATGCCTATTGTTGCTTATTAATATTGGGTCACAGAGAGAAAAAATAAAAATAAAAAACCTTTGCAATGTGCATCATCTTACATATATCACATTAATGAATCCAACATAGACCAATATACCAATATACCAATATACCAACATATTTACTTTCATTACCTTTAATTCCTTTGTAATGATCTTGTTTCAATCCGTGGTCCCTATTCCGTGGGATTTGTTATTAACCGTGGAAGACAAGGTAAAGAGTGTGACCCATTTGAACTTGATTTTGACATTTAAGGCAGAGGAAATCCATATCCTAAAAGATTGTTTCCATGCTTGCAAGTGACATTTTGTTCCCTTCAGCCAAAATCAAAGCACTGTTTTCCTATTTGGTTAGAGAAAAAAGTGGTTTAGTGCTTAAGTTGTTAAATCAATTGGAAATGCATTACTGATCAATGAACCACTACCATGAGGCTGTTAATACTTGTACTTTAAGATACAATGAAAGATAAATTGCCACCTAACATATGCTTGAAATCAAGTATACTCCTTTTAAGGTCTACCCACTTCAAAAAACTCGCCAACTAAATCTACCCTTCACAAGACGGTTTTATATGTTGGCCCTGTAAACATAACACCCAACTATCAATTTCACCTTAGAAGACACGATTCTAGTTTTTATGGAATAGGATTTAGTGTAGTACCGTAGTTGATTAAATAATGACGAAGCTTCATGTCTTAAATTTACTTAGTACATTGAATTAAGGATGTTTCTAATTACGAAGCTTCATGTCTAAATATTTTAATATATTAAATTTAATTTTATTAACTTCAAATAAGTTAATTTTAAGCGTTTAAAGATAATTAAGTTTTATCATAAAGATAATATTTATTACTTTTATATATTTCTAATGTAAAAATTGTTATTTTTAATTTTTAATCTCAATTTTAGGGACTGGAAGTTAACATTTTCTTATTGAATTAAGGAAGGTTTAGTTGACGAAGCTTCAAGTCTTAATGACAATACCTCTTATAGTACATGTACACGACAAATTCATCTATAGTGTCACTCTGCCATGTGAAAGGCCAAAAGTTTAAAACTTCCACTCATTTGCACTAAAAGACACTTCTCTCTTTTGGGACCCAAGAGCGGTTTAGTCCTTTTATGGCAAAATCATCATCGGTACATTCAAGTTATTGTTTGTATGCATAATATTCAGGCTATTGAGTGGACCCTCATTGCGACTGCTAATGTGCTGTGAAATACCAAAATGAAAGGATAATTAAACAAAAATAATGAAAAAATGCAAATAAATTAAGAAACAAAAAATCTCTTATACAAAGTTTTTTTTTTTTGGTGGGTAAAATATGATTTGTAAACTTCAGTTCGAGTAAGGTATAATGTGTAAGCCATCACTTAAGAAGTTGTATCTCTGTCAAAAATTGCATTACATTGTGTTTCTCTTTCCATGGTTTTATGATTAGCCCTGAAGTGAAGAGAAGAAAAAGAATAGAAATCAATCAAATGAGAAAACCCCTTTTAATCTGTTTTGCTTTTTCCTTCCTGGCAACGCTTCTTGATAAATAGACAACACACCCAAAAGTATTATCAACATTTCTTCATTTTCATTTCTAATAACTTTTGAACCAAAAAATAAAAATATTTAATCTAAAAATCAACATGAATATTCACCGCTAATAAAGTGTTTATTTCAAGAATTAAGCATTAATTAATTTAATAAATAATTTATTTATACTTTGATACTCAATTAATTACACTTAGACTATTAAATTTAAATGGAACACTTCTACACCAAGGTGTACTAGATTTTCATCTTTGCAATTATAAGTTCGTTCCTATAGATGAAAACTACTACTACTAATAGAAGTAGCATATATGCCACCCAAAGTGGAAGAACTAGAACTAGATTCTATGTTGCAAAAGACAAAGAATGAATGGGATTTTCATTCCCTCTTTTTCTAGTAGAATCTAACCGTACCTTACGAGTCATCATGTCCTTAGGCTTTAGATGTGAGGCACTTTCGTTTGGGTGGCCAAGTTAAGAACCAAGCTTTAAGCTTTTCCACCCCATTTTAAAACAAGGTGATTCTGCGAGTGTCACTCAACTCACTGCACTACAATGTGCATTTAATTGAGAAGAAAAAAGAATAAAGAAACAGCAAAAGCTCTTCATTACACAACTTGTGTTGAGTCACTGAGGTGAAGTGGGTGGTGTCAGTGTTCATCAATGGCCACCACATACTATCACTGATTGTGTGTGTGTATGTGTGTGTGTGTGTGTCACTCATCTTCAACACACGAAGGTGTTGCTTGAATCCTGTGTCTTTTCTAGGTAGTTGTTACTACTTCAACCACCACGCATGTTGCCACTTCCAACAATCCCACCATTTCACTGACACAAAGTACTATTTTTTGGTCTTTCTTGTGTTGTTTTTCTTGTGTCATTCTTTGATCTCTTTTCTTTCTTTCAGACCCCATTTTCACAAGAGCCATGAAGCAAAATTCGCCACCTCCACCACCCCCGCCACCTCCAACAACAACAACAACAACAAAAAATGTGTTGAAGCTTCCGACCAATTTAACTCCATTACGGTTCAGACCTTCTTCCAAGTCCAAAGAGCCTCCAAAGACGCCACCAGAGGTTGTCAATGTCAATGGGGTGGTGTCAGTATCATCAAGGAGAGCTAAGTCTGTGACTCCAGAATTGAAGAACAATTCAAGGGTCAAAAGGGGTCTTGTTATGAACAAGGCCAAACCCAATGATGAGGTTTTGGGAACCCAAAAGGGTAGGGAAGTTGAAGAGGCCAAGGTTGTGGCTCGTTTTGTGAGTCGCCATGTTGTAGAACAGTTTGCTAGAACAAGGAGTGGGGTTGCGGATTTTGCTTTCAAGAGGGATAAAGTGGACCCTGATGAGAAGAATAAGAAGGAATTGATGGAGAAGCTTGAGGTGAGTGAGAGTTTGATCAAGAATCTGCAGTCTGAGGTGCTTGCATTGAAGGCTGAGTTGGATAAAGTTAAGAGCTTGAATGTGGAGTTGGAGTCTCACAAGAAGAAACTCACTGAGGATCTTGCTGCTGCTGAAGCTAAGGTGGTAACTCTGGGTGGCAGTGAAAAGGTGAGAATCCAAATGTATGTTAATTCATTTGTTATAATATGCATTAAGAAAAAACAGGTTTGGACTATTGGAATGTGTTATGCATCTTCTTCTAATTAATTGTTGTTTCCCTTTTACTGTTTATCATTTTGAGTGTGGTTAGCCCAGTTATTAGTATCATCAACTGAAGTTTAATTGGATTTTTGACAGTGTTATTTTCTAAGTGATGCAAAAATGAGGTCACATATCTGTTTTGTGCACATGGTTATCTATCAACTGTTGCTGCCTTAGAAATGAGCCTGACGTTTATTTTGGATGAAGGAGCCAATTGGAGAAAATCAGAGCCCCAAGTTTAAACACATTCAGAAACTCATTGCTGACAAATTGGAACGGTCTATAGTGAAAAAGGAATCCAGTACTGATGGATGCTTTGTTAAAGCACCAATTCCTGCACCAACAGCAATTCTTGCCATTCCTGATGCTACAACTAAAAGTATACAAAGAAAGCCTACACCAAACCCATGCCCGCCGCCACCTCCACCACCAATACCACCATCAATCCCTTCTAGGCCTTTAGCAAAAGCAAATAACACCCAGAAGGCACCTGGATTTATGAAATTGTTTCACTCGCTAAAGAATCAAGAAGGGTTGAAAAGCACAAAAGGATCAGTTAAACCAGAGAAACCAGTGGCTGTCAATGTACACAGTAGCATTGTTGGAGAAATTCAAAATCGTTCTGCTCATCTTTTAGCAGTAAGCATTGCGTTTTGAAATTCAATTGGTGATTCTACTTCAATTGTATGTTTTAATTTAAGCATACACCATTAGTAACTGATTATACTTTCCAGATAAGGGCAGACATCGAAACAAAAGGAGAGTTCATTAATGACCTTATAAAAAAGGTGGTAGAAGCAGCCTACACGAATATTGAAGATGTTTTAAATTTTGTTAATTGGCTCGATGGGAAACTCTCATCATTGGTAAGTTTGTAGCAAAATTATTAATCTAGTGGACCAATTATTCTCCACCAGTTAGGAGGCTAGTTTGTGTTAAATCCTTCTCAATTAAGATAATGACACATCACGTGTATAGTTTCTTTTTTGGTATAACATATATAGTTTTATTCCATTATAGATTTGTATTATTTAAACAGTAAAATTGGTCTGAAAAGGTTGTACATCTCGTTTCTGAAATAAAAAAATTTTACTGATGAAGACCAAAAATTTAGCATTAGGTAATTTAGAGTGAAAGCTATAAATGCTTGCTTATTTTGCATATAATGTCATACCCACCTCCCGAGTTATATTAACTCTACCATGCTTTCCTTCTGATTTTGGTTGGTGCATTTAATTTAAAGCTGGTTAAGTGAACAGCTTGAGCTATTTGATTTTGTAGTTTGACAACATTAATCTGTAGAAGTTCTATCAGTAAATAAGACATAATTACATATGACTACCAAAAGTAATGAACATCTTTTAAGGTATTGTTGTGGTCAAGTTGTACAACTGAAGCTATACTAATAGCAGGTTGCTGTTGGTTTCTTATTAGTTACTTATTCTGTTTTCTACAGGCTGACGAGCGTGCAGTCTTGAAGCATTTTAATTGGCCTGAGAGGAAAGCTGATGCCATGCGTGAAGCTGCAGTTGAGTATCGTGAACTTAAATTGCTAGAACAAGAAATTTCCTCCTTCAAGGATGACCCTGAAATTCCATGCGGAGCTTCCTTGAGAAAAATGGCCAGCCTATTAGACAAGTAAAGAAATAGATCAATATTATGTGTTTAGTTATTTATGTTTAATATGCCGGGTTTATAGTTTGGGGGATACTAACTCTGTCCTCTCTCCTCTTGTGATAGGTCTGAGTGCAGCATACAAAGGCTAATCAAGTTGCGAAATTCTGTAATGCGATCATATCAAGAGTATAAAATTCCAACTGCTTGGATGCTTGATTCTGGAATCATGACCAAGGTATAACTTTTTTGCTCTTACTCTGTGAATGTGGTAGCAATGATGATACTTAGTGAACCTTCTCTGATCAGCAATTGGAAGTTACGTTTGAATGAAATTTATGATTGTTGAAATTAGACCACTTGAAATTGAATAGGTATAATACTTAATGATGTGAACTACATTGTGTGAACTGTAGTTGTCCACAATTTCCTTGCATTTAGCCCCACCCCTCTGTGACATATCATGAAAAAGAAATGAAACACTAAAACATAACTAACTGAATGAAGGATATCCTTTGGTTCATATTGTGTTAATCCAAATCTGTTGTAATTTATTGCTCACATTTATGCATTATCTATCTTTGAGAATTGAAAGGAAAGTGTATTCATACTCATAATCTCCAATACGAAGTTGTAAAACTTGATTTGATGAATAATAAATGTGGCATCTCTGCAGATAAAGCAGGCTTCCATGACTCTGGTCAAGATGTACATGAAAAGAGTGACAATGGAGCTTGGATCAGCTCGGAACTCAGACAGACAATCTAGTCAAGAATCCCTTCTGCTTCAGGGCATGCATTTTGCATATAGAGCTCATCAGGTATTTTGACAAAACTGTCAGCATATTTTATTTGTCATCAATATTGATTTCCCAGCATGTGCGTAAATTACTTGCAAATATTTAGAACTGTCATATTAGAACACGTTATCTTAAATTGAAGCCCTACACCGTCGCAGGAACAAGTACCAGGAACTGGTTTGAATGATGAGTAGTATTTTTAGTACTACTAGATTGCTGTTTCATGCATTTGAAACTTACTGAAATGATTTTGGAAATTTTGGAGAAAGTAGAATGCATTGGTCATTTCATGCCTTCGAATCTATTAACATTTTTACAGAAGATCATTGTCACTAGAGGGAAGAGTTGTAACCTGTACACAATTTACAAATTCAATATTTGTGGATAATTAGGACAAAAAATAAAGATACACAGTTTTAAGTTTAACTCAATAACTCAAATGTCACATTTTCTGTAAGAAAATCGGAAATATTATATGATGACACAGCATATAAGTAATAGCAATAACTGGATAACTGTATGGGCCGTGATCGGATGATCAATCTTCTTTCAGTGACATGTCTTCCCCTCCAAGCATCAAGTGAAGATGCAGCTCTTAAAGTACTATTAGTTAAGGTTGGAGGGGGACCTAGTCTTTATAGCAGCCTGACATATCACCCCTACAAGATCTAATGAGCCTAAACAATTGAGTGATTGTTTGTCTTAAAGTTGGATAGAATTGATTTAACTGCTGAAGGTAATTGGATTGAAACATGTGCTTGTTATAGAGGATTGATTCCTGATTTATAACAAACAGGCCTTAAGTGGATGGACCATAAACTATCTTTATAAAAAAGCCAAAAAATATCAATTAATGGAAAACATTCTTTCAATGTTCAATTATTAGGCCGATTCACTTGTCTTGGTGTGTTTTTGTAGTTTGCTGGAGGTTTGGATGCTGAAACTTTGTGTGCTTTTGAGGAGATAAGGCAACATGTACCAGGACACTTAGCAGGGTCTCGAGAACTTTTGGCTGGCATAGCATCTTCATGAGAGGACTAAGATATGTTATGCTTTCTTTTCCTTATCTCCAATGTTCAACACTAATAACCATTCAGGAGAATAAGATGGAACATGAAGAGATTCTGAAGAAAGAACATTACATGGAGTAGTTGAGCAAGTCAAGTAGCTAATTTGCACTCCTATGGTTACAAACTACCAGCTTCCCATTGTCTTTTCTGTGAATAGAATCTTCATGGTCATCGAGGTTAACTAGTTTTTATTTTGGGTAAAATATGTTTTCAATTTCTGTAAATATGGTTAAATTGGATTGATTTTAATCTTTCAAATTTTTTTGCTAATTTTAATTTTTATGAAATTTAATTTTTTTAAAAATGATCTTTATCATTACTTATTAATAATGTGACATACATCTAGATATATCATGTCACATCTTACCAAAAATAATTGCGGATGTGACAACAACGCCTGTCATGTTACCGACAAGTAAAGATAGAGATCATTTTTAAAAAAATTAAATTTATAAAGATTAAAACTAAAAAATTTTGAAGACTAAATTCAAATTTAATCATATTCACAAGAATTAAAAATATATTTAAACTTCTTATTTTTCTAAGTTAGACCCCTCTCTATTTTCTAATCATGTTACAAGAACTTTGCATGTGTAGGTGCATATAATTAACTTTTACTGAGTGACTGTAATAAACTAATAATTTTACAATCTCAGAGTTTGGGCTAAAGCTTTTTAGACTGCATTGTAGCAAACAAACTCATTTATATTTCCATTCTATCATACGGTCTCGTACAAACACGCTCAGTAGAAGTTATCTGCCTATCCTATCTGAAAGATTGGGGGAGCAAAATCCCATAAAGAATTGACCATAAATTGGACAAAAAGTAGTGAAAACTAAGGAAGAACTAGCCATTGTGTTAGCATTTCAGAATTTTGATAAGTATTAAAAGTAAGTTGTGATGCTTTTAACATAGGCATCAGCGTTGCACTCTCTACCAGGAAGGAAGGATGACTAATAGCTTTATTTAGGAGTTGTTTGCAGAAAGTTAGAGAGGAGGGGCAATTTTTTTTTAAAAAAATATAATAATTTTTAAAAAATAAATATATAAATTAATATATCAATATAAATTTACTATATTAATCATGCATTTATTATTATAAAATAAATTACCTTTTCTTCTTTCTTTCTCTTCAAAAACTCTAGAAAAATACCCTTACTAAAAAGTTAAATGGTAAAAGTAAAGTACTCTATGTATTCCAAAATATTTTACTAAAAAATAAATATATAAATTAATATATCAATATAAATTTACTATATTAATCATGCATTTATTATTATAAAATAAATTACCTTTTCTTCTTTCTTTCTCTTCAAAAACTCTAGAAAAATACCCTTACTAAAAAGTTAAATGGTAAAAGTAAAGTACTCTATGTATTCCAAAATATTTTACTAAAAAATAAATATATAAATTAATATATCAATATAAATTTACTATATTAATCATGCATTTATTATTATAAAATAAATTACCTTTTCTTCTTTCTTTCTCTTCAAAAACTCTAGAAAAATACCCTTACTAAAAAGTTAAATGTTAAAAGTAAAGTACTCTATGTATTCCAAAATATTTTATGCCAATGTACATGCCTTACAATATTCGAGTCATCGTTTGCTTCTCAGAGGTCATTCTTTATTCTAATTATCAAGGTTTAAAATTTTAAAAGAAATGTTTTAGAGCACACACTTTAATATATTTTTTTAACACACTTGTAATTATTAATTAAAATTTAACAAAATTTAAAAAAGCATAAATGATATTCTTAAAAAAATTGAAAGATAAAATCAAAATTATTTTAAAAATAGAAGCCAAAATTTATATAAAAAAAAACTTGAGAAAGGCCATTATTATTAAGAACATTCTATTATTGATGTGAGAACTTTATTAGTAAATTACTTAATGATATTATTTGAACCCTAAAAAATATTTATTCATTAATAATTTTTAAAATTAACTAATTTTTTAATTTAAATCATAAAATTCAAACTCAAAATTTAAATTAAACACGTCAAATGAACACATGTTGAACGGTTTAACTAACCTTAATTTTTTACTGTATATATATTATTCTTAGAAGGGACATTATAAAAAAGGCCACGCATCACACGTTTTGCAAATATTATATATTTATATTAAATAAATATTTCGGTTTTGGTTAGGGTGCGAAGTTTACTCAAACAACACAACTCTTTTTCATTAACAAGTATCCTTCTGGATTCGGGGAATCTACCGAGATGATATTGGTCGTACTCGTATGCACATTTGCATAGTTTTCTGCTAAGTGCTCAAGTGACTTCCACTTTTATTACCGTGCGAAAAATAACATTATCCTAAGCGAAACGACGCAGAGGTTTCCATGTAAGGTTAATTTGGTAGTTTTAAACATCAAATGCACTATAAACCAAAAAGTAAAATAAAAGGGTAAACTTTGATTTTGAGGGAAAAGGGAAGTGTCAAATTGTTCAACCTTCATTTTCAGTAGCCAAGTGTAAAAAAATTTTAAAGACCCGTATCATGGTTAAATTATTATATATGAAAAGCATGTTATTTCCCTATGTCGTGTAGAAATTGTAGGCTGTGCCTGCAGTATTGTATCTCGGTCAAATACCTATGCATCAGGTATGAATTTTCAAGTTTATCTTTAATTCTAGTTATTACCCATAATTTTAGACTTTTAATATTTGCTTGAGTCCAAGCTGTAAACCTTAAACATGTTAATGTTTTGCTTCTGATGCTAATTCAAATGCTATTATGATAATGATCAATTTCCGGCTTTTGTTTAGAAATCTCTTTGTTTCCCTTATAACAGGCATGTGAACGAACTTGAGGCTTTTAAACAAATTGATGTATGCTTTTATCAAACTATTGACATCATGTTGAAGAATTGAAAAATGTAAACATGGCGTGATTAATTATTTGTAATTAAGCTGCAGCTGTTAGTTTTCTGCTGAACTTTCTAAAATGTGTTGAACCAGATGACTTGTAAGTATGGGTTTCAAGCATCTGTTGGTTGTTATGTTGGTTTGGGCTTGGTTTGGATCCTTGGCTTTTGCTACTTCTGCTGACGGGTTGATGAGGGTTGGTCTAAAAAGGAGGAATTTAGACCTTCAGAGGCTTAAAGCTGCAAGAATCAAAGAGGCTGTTCATGACAGAGATTTAAGGAGTGTTAATAAAAGTTGTTGTGTTGAAGAGGTAGTATATCTTAAGAATTATCTTGATGCACAATATTTTGGGGAGATTAGTATTGGTTCACCCCCACAATACTTCAATGTTGTGTTTGACACTGGCAGCTCAAATCTTTGGGTCCCATCTTCCAAATGCATTTTCTCTGTAAGTTACCATTTATCCGATTCTTATGTAATTGGATATTCATTTGATCTTTTTCTTGTTTTTTTTTTTTTTTTTTTTTTTTAATAAACATGCTTTTAAAAGCAAATATGATACATGCAGATCGCTTGCTATTTTCATGCCAAATATAGGTCGAAGATATCTAGCACCTATTCCGAAATTGGTAAATTTTGAATTAATACATTTAATTGAAAAGTTAAATTAATTGATTTCTTGTTTAGGTGTTTTCATTTGTTTTATATGCAAAAACGGAAATATGTTTGTTTTAATGTAGATATTTATAGTAGCTTTTGGGAAAATATGCAGGAATACCTTGTAAAATCCCTTATGGCCAAGGATCCATTTATGGATTCTTTAGTAAAGATAATGTACAAGTTGGGGATATCATCATCAAAGATCAAGTCAGTATTTTGACCTTTACTTTTCAGTCAGTATTGTGATTTAGTTTGTATGCTTCTTTGGTTGTATTGATGGTTGGTTACTTTCTATTCTCTAGGAATTTGCTGAGATTACAAGAGAAGGATCTTTGGCACTTTCAGCTCTTCCATTTGATGGGATACTTGGACTTGGATTCCAGGAAATTTCAATCGGAAAAGTCACACCAGTGTGGTACACCTGTGCACATAATAACTTCATTAATTTGTTTATGTTTATTGATCTTCCTTCGATTTTCTCTTTCAAATTAATGAACAATGAAAGATTAGTGTTGTGATTGTATTTTGCTTGTAATAGGATAGAAGGAAATCAAAGTTTCCCTTTTCCTTAAAGTTTTTGATGCTTCAGAAAAGTTAGTTTTGTGAGTGCAGGTATAATATGATAGAACAAGGACACATATTCCACAAAATTTTTTCTCTTTGGCTAAATCAAGATCCGATGGAAGAAATAGGGGGTGAGATTGTCTTTGGTGGTATTGACTACAGGCATTTTAAAGGTGATCACACATATGCTCCACTTTCCCAAAAGGGTTATTGGCAGGTATATTATATTTAGAACTTCATCCATGCAATTATCATCAACTGTCATTATTAACTTTTGGTGCTTGCACGTGCAGATTGATGTGGGAGATATTCTACTAGCAAATAATTCAACAGGTCATCTTACATTTCTATTTGTCATGATACTTAATCTATCTGCAATGTGTTCTGTGTCTTGTAGTTGTGACTAAATACTACGTATGAAGATATTAAAGTTGCTTAATGTTGCACCATAGGAGGCTACATAATACTTTATTTTACAGACAAGCCATTCAAATTTCCACAACTATTAGAACTAAAAGGGTTCATTCAATAATTATTGATTTTCAGTTCAATTTGTTCTCTCGGTTCATTTTTCCCAGCATAAACTTTTTGATCGCTAGCATGCATTGTTGCCATCTTGGTACTTCTTTTCGTTACCTTTGACCTGACTCAACAGAAAATTGGGTAAAAAAATTTACAGGGTTATGTGGGGGTGGCTGTGCAGCAATTGTTGACTCAGGGACATCTTCAATTGCTGGTCCAACTGTATGATCTCAAACATGATACTTCTATCTTGACACATTGTTTTGTTCCCTTTTCCCTTGGCTTCTTTTTCTTACTAGTTCTTGTTTGCAGGGTGTTGTAACTCAAATTAACCATGCCATTGGAGCAGAAGGATATGTTAGTTTCGAGTGTAAAAACATTGTCCATAATTATGCGGATTCGATATGGGAATCCTTGATTAATGGGGTTTGTTCTCTTTGTAATTTTACATTCATATTCATAATGATTATCTACAGCTATATTCGAATTTTAACCATCCTACTTATTTTCTTATGTCTCATGTCTGCAGTTAAATCCTGACATTATATGTGTTGACATTGGACTCTGTTCACATAACGGATTCTATGCAACAGAGTACAATTTTTCATTTTCCTAATCTCGATTGTTTTGAAACTGTTTTGTTTATTCCAATTCTCTTAACAAAAGTATAACTTAAACCTGCAGTGATGTTATTGAAACAGTGGTGCATAATCAAAGTCGGGATGGGTCAACAACCAGGGAGAGCCCCTTTTGTACTTTTTGCAATATGATTGTCCTTTGGATCCAAGTTCAGCTTAAGGAAAGCAATGTAAAGGATAAAGCATTAAAATATGTGGATGAGGTAGTTACAAACTTAATTAGTTAGATATGCCTCAATTATGTTCCCAATTAAGAACTAACAACCGTTTCTCTGTCTCAATTTCCTTATGTAAAAGCTGTGTGAGAAGCTCCCAAATCCCAATGGACAATCATTTGTAAACTGCAAAACTATTGCATCTATGCCATACATTACATTCACGATTGGAAACAGATCCTTTCCACTCTCTCCAGAACAGGTCTCAGTTTTTTGACAACTTTTGTGTACTTCCAATTTGTTGGATATTCACTGTTTTTTATACATCAGTGCCTCATCACTAGAAAAGTGATCATGCATAATGCATTTAAATCAGATACCTACCTCAATTTTATTAAGCTCTCCAACTTTTTCTCATATTTGCTTCTATCCCTTTCTTGACAACTAAACATAGAAGTTTATGTTGTTTGTTGCAATGCATATTTGGTTACATTTTTTTAATCTTTCAGACATTTAACATTCCCTTTTTACTTCTCAGTACATCCTTAGAGTTGAAGATGGCTGTTCTACTGTCTGCTATGGTGGTTTTGTTGCTATAGATGTGCCTCCTCCACAGGGTCCCCTCTGGTAATGCATACTAATCATGTTGTCAATATATTTCTTTGATAAAATGTAAATGTGTATGCTCCTATATCACTGCAGAAATGAGCCAGATACATGTTTTTCTCTCTTTTCTCTTATATAGTATATGACAGTAATGTTATGTTTGCAGGGTTCTCGGAAATATTTTCTTGGGGGCATATCACACAGTGTTTGACTATGGCAATCTCCGTATAGGATTTGCAGAAGCTGCATAGTCATAGTTTGGTGTTATTGCTATGCCAAATTCTCTGTGAATAAAAAAATTGGAGTTTACGTGATTTACAGCAGCAAAAAATAATAGCAGCCCCTCAGAATTTATCTCTTGTAAATGGTGAATGGTATATTTTATGAATAAGAATTGTGATATCTCTGTTCACAAGGATCACAGTGGGAGAAAGGCAGAGAAACGGATATAAAGGAGCATGATTTTCAAAGGAGAAGTGTTTGGTTAAAACTGCTTTTGTTTTACACTACTTTACAGCCCTTTATAAAGTGTAAAAACACTTGATAGAAGATGGAGCAAAGAGAAGAGAAAAGCTATGTTACTGGGTATAGAATAGAGTGTAATAAAAACTGATATGAAAATCGAAATTTCTTCCAAAAAAAAATAAATAAAATTGTTGGTCTCGTGTTAGTCAAGGCTTTACAAATCAGAGAAAGTTGGTTGCCTCTCATCACTTTTGGTATAAATTATGATTATATGATGCATTAATTTATTTCAATTAATTAATTATATTTGTTCGGTGATATGGTAATGTGTCATTGATTTGATCGTACAAACACACACAAGGCAGAAACACAAAAAAATAAAAAATTATAAATTATAAATTTATAAATATATCCAACAAATTAACCCCTATTTGTTTTGCACTTGAAAAATATAACATTTTTCATTAAAAGCATGCATTCTAATTATATTTAATGATTAAAAATCAATTCTACCAAAATTAATTTAACCCAATTTTAAAGCATGTAAGTCTTCAGTGAATGATTAATTTGATGTTGCATAAAAAAATTAAACAAATTGTCCGTATAAAATTGTATTATCATCTACGATAATTATATCATTTAGAAATGCTAACTAAATACCTTTTAATATATTTTTTAAAATATATTATAATTATTATTTGACATATATGAAGATTCAAAGATTTATAGGTGGAACTCATATGTAATTAAAGAAAAAAAAAAGTGGTTGCAATTCTTGAAACCAATATTTTGAAAAAAAAAACTATAAATTAGCAATTCAGTAATATAAAAGGAAAAATAATAAACAATAATAAAATATTTTTTTCACAAATCTATTACATTTAAATAAAAATGATTTTAAAATGTGAATATTCATATATTATTATTTATTTTTAATGAATATGTTTTTTTATATTATATGCAAACAAATGAAAACTATAAGAAAAATGATAAAATTCGAAAAATGTATGAAAATAAATGATATAAATTAAGACTTAATGTCTTTAATGGTAGTGTGATAGATTTACAGTTTATAAATGAATGAAATAAATTTTTAGTTCCTATAAAAATTGTTATTTTTAAAATTAGTCTCTGTAAATTTTTATTAAAACTTAATTTTATGACAAATTAAAAATATAAAAAATAATTAGTACTTACTATTAATCTCAGCATATGTCAAAATGAGGTGACGAGAAGAACAGGAAAAAAGCATGCATGGTTCTCCCGACATATGCCAACTTTTCGGCCATTTATCATTTCTTGTCACATAACCCATATTGGATTTTAAACTAAACCATTGTACCTCAAACTATAGACAGTTAATTCATCAGTGTTTTGTCCAATCAAGATATCCATTCACTGTATTATATAACATTTGAGCATATAATTACATGACCAACAACCAAAACTTCGGTCTATTAATTTATTTTACAAAGTAATTACTAACGAAAATGAACCAGTTAAAATGGGATATGTTTGATTTCTCATAAAACTTACCTCTTACACATATAACTTGTTCACCTCTTCTGTTTGCTATGTAATTTATTAATTTGACAACTATATATTTGATTAACTCTAAATCAACTGGGTAGTGTAAGGATGATGACGTGGTATTGCGGGCATCTTTGAACAAGGGTCGTGACCACTACTTTTATTATCTTGGTTGTTGTTATTGATGTTATTGTTGTGAGGATGATCTCCAGTGAGTGAGGAAATGGCTGCAAACAATGCTGCCTTCAGAGAAGGATCTTTGACCATAACTTCACTCACTACATCCACCAAAGCAAGGCTTTTCTCTGGGGTTATAAAGGTTGGAAGCTTGGAACACAAGTGTAACTCCTCATATGTTTGAGGGTGACCATCTAGTGGTAAAGGGAAAAATGATTGTCTTTGATCATGTGAAGTGGTGGCTCTTTGGAATTGGAGATAGTTATTGGTAGTAGGTTGGGTTAAGTCCAGTGTTACTGTGGGACATGTTGCAGATGGGGAGAAAGTAGCTAAAGCTGTTGGTGAAATACTAGACAATGAAGAGAAGAGGTGTGAGTTTGATAGGGTGCTGATGGTATGTGAACTTGTGATTGAGCCAGAAAGAAACGTGTTCAATGCTGCTGATGTTGAGCTTGCCATTGGTCTGGCTGCTGGTGGGAGTGGATGGTTATGGTTCCCTTCATAGGTTGTGATGAGAACAGTCTCATCCTTGAAACACCTTTGCACCTGTTACAAATGTAAATACAACCATATATTAAGTGAACTCATTTTGTGCAAGAAACTTTCAGTAAGCCATGCTAAATTGCTAATTAAAAGATAAGCTATATATATGTGGAGGCGCAGATGTGCATCTTAAGTCTCAGTTTGACAAATTAGAATGAAATGAATGTCTGGTAACAAACCAGGCTATTCAAGTTTATTTACATTTCTCATAACCACATGATTGATGTTATCAATATTGGCAAATCTAACCATTCAAGTTGCAATGCTAGTGTAAGGAAATATATACAATTAATCACTAGGATCAAAAGTTAAACCCAAATACTATAATAATAAGTTTAGTATAAACCCACAACGTTGCAAAAAGTTAAGTGTGGCTTCATGAATAAGGAATCAATTGATTACATAAATTGAGCAAACCCTTCATCCTTTAAAGTCATATACGTCATTACATTAATTTAAAAAAAAAAAAAAAAACTCTCAAAAAATCATTTTTATTCTTATTTTAAATTTTAAAAAATGTTGTCAAATTAGTTTTTAAAAATGTCATTTACTGCTAATAATTTTGTTTCTCAAAGATTTATTTTGCAACTATTTTAATTCTTCAAAAGAAGTATGATAAAATTTTAGATTTTTTTCTCAAAGACTTAATGTGTTACTAAATTAAACTTTTTATAGATTCTTTTTTTTTTTTCGTTTTAGTCTTTTATAAGATCTTTGAGTAATTAATTTAGCAATAAAAGTTTTAAAATTTTAATATGGTGATAATTTAAAGCTTTTAAAGACAAATTTAATAACCATTTTTTAATTATAGTGATAATACATATAATTTTAGTGGATCAAGAGTTGGCTAGACTGGATTTAAGATTCTCCTTGTTCTAACTACAATGATACATCAATTGTTAACAGATACCTGTCATTCATCATATATCATAACTAGGAAGTAATTAAGCAAATTGAAATGATGGCAAGAAGATAAAAATGTTTGTGGATGAACCTGCTTACGAACTGGACATGCAGTTCCCATGCTGCAACGATAGTAGGCTCGGGGGCAAGGGTTTCCCTTTGCTGTCTTTTGTCCATACTTTCTCCATTGACATCCATCGCCCATCTGAATATCAATAAAATATATAGCAATTGTAATGCAAAATCCTACAATTCCACCCCAAATGCATATTTCGTTCTATCAGTGCAGGGGACTCAAAAGTATTATTTGTAGCATACAAAGCAATATCATAAAGAGTTTAATTTTCTTTTTAATTATTAAATATAATAGTTTAACCTTTTGTTTCAAAAATATTCCTGAGTTTTAGGAAACTGTTAATTTCACACTTCTATTTATTATACTTACTCTACACCCTTGTCTTTTTCCTTCATACACGTGAAAGGGTTTATATAATGAACTTTGCATGTTAGGCTCAATACTTTTTTCACATGCGAGAGAGTGTGAGTGAGTTTATATAATCTATTTACCTTTTTGGCCTTTGATTACACGTAAGAAATGTTTTATGTGAATGTAACAAAACAAATGATTTAACAAATAAATAAAAGGATATATTTTTGTAACATTTCAAATGAAAAGACACGACTCTTGAAAATTTTGAATTTTAAAAGTCCTTGTCATAAATTATTCAAAACAAAATAGTCTACACATATATCTCATAGGAATCCTTATTATAAATTAGGGGTTATTTAGGAGGAAGTTTTTGAAGAAAAAAAAGGGAGAACATTTTTTTTATTTTAAATTAATATAAATATATAAATAAATAATATATATTATATTTATATTAATATTAATATATCTTTTCATATCTAATTTGAAATTTTATCAAAGAAAAATATATTTATTTTAAAAAACTTTTTCTTTTCCTCTAAAAACTTTTCTTCTCAAATAATCCTTAAGGTCGGCCAACTATTTATTAAATAAAGTCTCATTAAAATAGCCAGTATGATATGAAATTTGAACTTTTAAATAGGACCACGTCTACATTTAAAGTAATAAACTATTTTTTAGTGCATTTGATATTGATCTTAGTAAACGTTAAAATTAAAATTAGTTCAGGGTAAAATTATTTTTTTTTAATTTGCATTTGCAGTGAGAAAAGAAGAATTAAGAGGTGTTTATTTTAAACAGGAAGAAAATGTTTAACTAGAAAAAGATGAAAAAATTTTAAAGGATAATTTTTTCTTATTAATTTCCTTTACTTAGTAAGTATATTTTGACATACGTAAGATAAATAAAAAAAATTATATAATAGTTAATCAGATGTTAATTTTTAGTTATTTAAATATCAAATTTATAATATAAAAGAAAAAATATTTTATTAGTTATATTCATTTTTAGTGTTTTAATTATATATGTAATTATAAAATATTATGAATTAATTAAATATCTAATAATAATAATTTTTAAATTAATTATTACAAAATTTAATAATGTTTATCTGTATGATAATTTACAATTGAATTACGATAATATATTTCATCAATTAAATTTGATGTTAACTACAATATTCTCAAATTTGAAGGAGCACTAAATATTTTCTATAGATTATATTAAGATATTAAAAGATATTTATATTTTTTTTAATATATTACTAACTTCACTATTAAAATCAATAGTAATGATTGTTTTACATATAAAAAAAACATAAAATACTCCCTATTTTTTCACCTTAGAATTTATCATTAAATTCATTATAAAATTGCACCAGCCTTATAAAACAAGCAATAGCGTTGATTGATTCACACACGAGCCGGGCGGGTACGATTAACGGTCAATTATATGTTTTTTAGAATTTAATTTAAATATATAATAGATTATTTTTATAATGATTAATTTAATAATCATATCCATAATTTATTTTGTGTGATTAATAATACTGTAAAAACCTTTATATTAATTAATAATGTAACAGTAATTAAATTCTATTTTATATAATCAGTCAACTATGAAGTACATAACACAATTGACATTAAAATGTATAAAAGAACAGTTTGCATCTTTCAACTCAATATGATATCTAATTTAGTACCAAAACTTTAATTATGTATAAAATAGTACAAATCATAATTAAAAAATGATTCACTACTGAAAAGATATCATTTATTAACAATGATGAATTGATTTCCAATAATATTTTTTTATTAAATAAAAGTTTAAAGTGTCAATATAAACATTATATATTTATACTAACTGATAATATATTATACTAATAAATAATTTAGTTAAGATAAAGTGTTAATTTATAATATTATATTTTAAATGTTCAAATAACATGTCCTATTTTTAATGTAAACTTTTTAATATTTATATTAATAATTTAATTTATGTTAAGTAAATATTATATTAATAAAGAAAATCATTTAATAATTTATCTTTGTTTAAGAATAATATTCAACGTGTTGCACGGCTGTGGAGTGCCAAATGAACATTTTCTCAAGTAATATAAGAAATGATAGTAATACTATTTTACTACAACTTTTTATATTAGATCAAATTTATTGAAAATGATAAAATTATATTAATCTCATTCTTAATTCAATGAGTTTCACTTATAAATTTATAATTTTTAATAAGTTTTAACTAAAAAATGTTAGAAAGTGTGTTAAACTTCTCAAGTAAAATAACGACAATAATAATTATTACAAAAAATGAGATAGAAATCCGTACCATAGAAAAATCTGATCGTGCTCTTATGGACACTCTAGCTTTCCTGCAAGGAACCTCAGATGCTTGATCTTCTGAGCGTTTTGGTTCTTTAGATGTTATTTGGCTGTTGATTTCACCTTCAACATTGTACTCATCATCCACAATGTTTCTTCCCACTTTCTTCTCACCAATATTCAAGAACTGCCGTGTGAACATAGCTTTCTCTGCACCTTCTCGATCTCTCTTCAAAATTCATTATTCATTTCCTTAATAACTTTGTTCATACGACATATAGTGAAAACCACATTCATCATAATTATTTTTACCCTTTCTACCCACACTCATTCATGCCTCTTTCTATCTATTTTCTATCTATCACGTTCTTCATATGACTTTGCAATACCATTTATATTTACACAAGTTTAAATGAAGTGTAACAACTAACAACTCATTTCTCTCACCAGAAAGTGTAGGTTAGATTGATCATCCAATACAGTCTATGTCACGATAATTACAAGAACCAAAAAATAATACTCTTTCTGTCTTTTTCATTTTGTCCATAATCGTCGTTTATCAGTTAGAATTCATTTTAAAAATCTTATCAACAATTTATAAAAATAGTTTATAACATTCAAAAAATTTTAATATAATTTATTAAAATATTTGTTTTAAAATTTGATAATTCAATTAATCACGTTTAAAAAATTTATTAAATAAATATTTAATATACGATGAAATGCAGCCTTAGTCTTTCACTCCTGTTAGAGTAGTGAGAGACATCCTAGGCCGGACATTATTGCGGCCACCGAAAAGATGTTGAGTTGTTGACCTAGTAAAACTAGTAGATTGTTCTTAAATAATATAAAATTTTGAATCAAATTTAATAGGACAAAAAATAAATAAAAAGATATCAACTACTGATCAAACAAGCTCATGCGAAACAAAATTCAAGTCAAACTTATTACCTGCAAGTCATGATTACTATTTCGAGGTGATGCTGAAGATAGTTGATGCTGCTGCATAGCCAAAAGTATGCGATTTTGAAGAGTGGTGCAGTGCTCATTGACCTGATGTAGCATAGCTCTTAAAATCTCATTCTCCTTCTTTGCTTCCTCAAGCTTGATTCGCAGCATGCCCATCTATAAGAGCCAATCGCAACCATAAAAAAAAAAAAAAAAACTTATTGATCATGTCCAGCACAAGGGGTATCAATGAAAATTTATGCAGATTAATTAAAACTAACATATACCGTAGAAATATTACTCACTTGGGTTTGGGACTGTCCTTCAATTCGATGGGTTTTCTGCTCTGAGTTATTCAGGCTCAAGCTGAGAAGAGTAGATCCCATCTGAACAATTTTCCAGTCCACGCGTTAGTTAGCAAAGATCATATATGTAATAAACCAAAAATATATCATATTAAATTTGAGAAAACCTGCTCATAAGCACATACATGATTCATCTAAAAAAACTATGGGTTTGAAAAAATAAGGTGAATTAAGCAAGGAGAGATCAAGTTGAAGCCTTAAGCAACTGAACACGGTTTTGGAGGTCTTAATTTGCTATTATGTACATCACGACCATATATAATTGTAGTCGCATCACTGGTTTTTTTTTTTCATAATTTTTTCGCAGTATTAAGGTTTTGAAAGAATCATGATCATGACTGAAATTTAAAAGCTTGCTAGAAATTAAGCAATAAGAAACATAACCTATGTGAAAACTTACAGAATTATGGACGGAGAGTTTATCACATGGCCTTTCCTCATCTTCCAGCAATTTTTTTATTCCAACTTTTTCTTCCATAGCTACTTTGCTGGTTACTACTACTTGGTTGGCGATATAAGATGTATATGCATCTATATCTATATCTATGTCTATATATAGCTGGTGTTCCAAGAGTGAAATATGTCTCACTTCCACGCTAGACTTCAGATTGTTCGTGATTTACCTTTAACTATATAGTGGGTGCAGCCAGCTGCGTTTATGGACGAAACTTGCAAACTGTACACGCCATTAATCTGTCTTTCTAATTGTTTCCTTACAAATTAATGTAAATGTTGTTTTACTCCCTTTTATATTTTTTTAATTTATCCCTTATACTTTTTTTTGTATAATATTATTGAGGTATCACTGTTTTTATAAAATTAAGGTTTTATATCTATGAGTGAGATAAGAGAGAAAACAGAAATATTAAAGTGAAAAGGAGTTTAGTGACACTAAATAACGTATATAAAAAGAATAAGGAGGTAATTTTAAGTATTGTAAAATAACATTGGGAGTATGTTATTTACTTAATAAATTATTTAACTTTTTATTAATCTTTACACATGGTTTTAAGCATTAAAATTAGTGAGATTTTTTTAAAAAAATGTATTTATTACACATAAAACAATAAAAAGTGTAATAAATATTTTTTATAAAATTTTATTACTTATTTATTAAAATAGAACTTGAACACTAATTTTAATATATGTAATTATTTAATTCTGTTTGTTAAACAAGTACTTATTTTACATAAAATATAAAAATGACATCACTTATAAGGGTGGCGAAAAGACTCTGTTTGCTTTAAAATAGAGTGTGTAATTAATCTCTAATTAAAAAGAGGTTAGCATAATGTAAGTATCAGGAAATTTTCCTTCTATGTTTTTATTTTATTTATAAAGGAGGCTCTAAAGCATGGTTGAATAGGAAACCGAAGATGTACCCCCAAAAATAACCAAGAAAAAAATAATTAATAGGAACATTGGAAGACTAATTAAGATAGCCCTAATGTTGAGACCAAGGGACCAAATTAAGTATGGAGACTTTCTAAGCAGCCACTAATAAACTATAAGACCGATTATAAACTAAAGCATGAATGTTGGCAGAATAGGGAACCCCAGATCAACAAAGAAGATTAAATTAATAATATTTTTTAACTTATAGGACATTGCATACAAAAAATTTATATATAACAATTTTTATTAAAAATTATAAAATTAAATTAAAAATTAATTAAATTAATTATATTCATATTATTAAATATTACAATTTGTTTAATAAAAATGTATTGTACATAATTATATTTTCCATGTTTAAAAAAATTATAACCTTAATATTGACATTCAGTGGATCCAATTAAGCAGCCGTTAATTTTGTATGGGGAGCTTTCTAAGCAGCCACTAATAAACTATAAAGCCAGTAATTAGGGTAAGTGAGATTTTATTTTTATAGGTTGCACTGTCTTATGTTTTCCTTCTAATTGATTTTCTTGATTTATTTATTCTCCCTTGTCCACAAGTAGTAAGCTTGTTTATTCTTTTCTTCTCCTTTTTCAACGATGTTGGCTAGTTATTAATTTTCATATATGTACAAGAAAGTTTCCAGATTTTATATATATTAACAACATATTTTTATAATTAGTTTATTTGAAAAAAAAACAAAATATTTATTTCATAAATTGACATCCTTCAAAAAAATATTTTTTTAAATATAAATTACAACAAATGTATAAAGAGTATGTTTTAAAAAGGATATTATTAAATTTTCTGGTCTACAAAAATGTGCAATGAACCCATGTGGTAACATGTTCTTTCGAATTCAAAACTAGGGTGTGCCTCACGATATGATGGATTTCCTCTTTTGTAATTTGCTCCATTTGTGCTCATTACGATTTACGAGGTCTCTTCTCTTCTGGGACAAGTTGAGGCATAGATTTGATTTAACAGTAAAAGCAATCATCTTGTAATGTAAGTCAACCGTGGAAACGTCGTCGTTCTCACCAACAACAACGAAAGGGACAATTTGGGATTCTAGATGACGTTGCTTCCCTTCATCCAGGGAAAGAAAATTGAGGGAGAAGATGTCAATTCCTTATCTAGCGTGACTCAGGCTGCCACATTAAACTCTCCCTTCTTTAATTTCTTTTGAAGACGGCAACAATAAAACTTGTTTAAAGTTTTTTTTGGAAATTGATTTTTAAAGATAAAAAGATATAATTATTTTTGTTAAAGAATTTTAAATGAAAAAAATTTATAAATCTTCCTTTTTCTTTCTTGTCTTTTAAATATTTTCTTTCTTGCTTTCTCAGTTTCCAAATAAAGTCTAAAGAGATTTAAGAAGAAAAGCTCGTCTACATTTTACAATTACGTCTATTTGTTCACCTATTAAATGAACACCTGCTTCTTTTTGTATCAAATGACTTTTTTGGTTTGATATATACTCTCAATATTAAAAAATTACTTTAGACTTATTAATTCGAATCAAACATATAAGTAGACTAAAAAAGATAAAGGTTTTACTGTACAAATCAAACTCTTTACACTTAAATCAACAAACATTAAACTTGTATTGATTTGACTAATTGTATTTAGGACGGGTAGTTAATGTCACACTCATGTCTCCAAAGAAAATATCATAAATTGTTTTTGTTTATTCATCCAAAGAGTGGCACGCAACTGTTTATATATTATTTCTAATATCAGGTTTCAGCATTTGGACACAAAGGACTGGATTGAATGTCATACATCCAGATAAATAAATCCTAGCTATAGATGCTGATGAGGATAACTTCAGGGAAATAAGCTCTTCAAATAAGGTTACTTTTGCTGTGTTAAGCTTTGCATAAAAAATATAATTGTTTGATTTGCTTCATAAAAAATGTCTTTGTTTTAATATTTTCTCCCCAAAGGTTTTGACAGAGAGTCAAATGTAGACCAAGTACCAACCCCACCGAGTCATGATCAATATGTAAGCATAATCAACTCTCAGCTGTTTGTGTATAGATTATTGGACACGAAGGAACCTTGAAACTTCCTTGAAATACTGTTCAAACTTCAAATATTAACCGGGTGTGCTATTGATAATATTATTCCTAGTGCATGGTATTACCCAGGAAAATGTTTAAAAAGTCCAAATTAGCTTTCAAAATTGTGATTGAAATGGCGTAGTGAATAAGTTAACAGGTCATCTTGATTTCTTATTCAACCGATTAATTGAAAGAATATATGATTGATAATGTTCTTGAAGTAGACTTTTGGTAAAGCATTATTTGCGCGTCTACCCCGTGTATAGAATTTTTACATAATATTCGACTTTGTAAATCACTTTGTTAAGTAATAAGAAATGAAAAACCTAGTGTATGCTCACGTTAATCAACAAACGTCACCATTGGCAAATTGTTAGAATCCTAACCAAAAGCCAGATAAAATTATATAAATAGTCACTATATCTAGTAAGGGGTTATAGACTTTGACCATGAACGATCTAAGCCATGGCCTATGTAACGATGGATTTGAATCGTGAAATCATTTAAATTCTAATTCATTTTATAATCCTTAATTGTGTGCAAAAGAATATATTTTAATCACCACATGATAAAATATGTAAAAATCCTTAACAGAAACCGATTTGGAAATACATTTTGACGCACGAACTAAAATAATGAAAATGAAACATAAATGACCACCTTGGCAATGCTTCATATGTTAATTGGATTTCATTAGGGTGAGTATGAAATGATGCAGTGAATGGAGGTGTGGGTGAAAAGGCAGCGAGGAAGGCATGAGACAGAAAATGAATAAGGATCTGCCAACTTCCAACTAAGACCTGACTAGCGTTGACGCTGCCGTGCTTTGTTGTATGCATTATTTAAAAAAGAGTGAGTTTACTTTTGAAAACGACGTGGACTTGCTTCAAAGTCATATATAATTCAACAAGTAAATGGAAGAAGAATCAGGTGGTAATTGGCAATTGGTAAAGGAATGCGGCGCTGGATATACCTTTCATACCAAGTGCTTCCATTCATCTTTACAACTTCATTTCTCTCCTACGTATTCAATGGATCACTTTAGCTCATATTAGTTTGTTTTCCACTTTCCTTGTCTTCACACATACCTCTGTAGTACAGAATTATATGTTGTCATTTTATGTTTAGCTGGTAAATAACCAGTTAAGTTTCATGCAAATCCAATCCTGAGACTAGTCCAAGAGTGAGATTGCTCAGAGTCCAGGCTTGAAAGGAGTCTAAAATAAAAAGCGTGTTCTGCATTTACGTGAAAAATTTTCAACAAAAAGGTCTTTCAATTTCTTGCACTTTATTTCTCATAAATGACTCTATTTTTCCATAACTATGGTAATGAGAAAAATTTTCTATAAATTAAAAGGAACTTCAATTTACTGTTTCGTCCAAGGCAAAAAAATTAAAAATTAAAAACAGACCTAGTTTCACAAGTAATTTGAGTGTGTCTCGTCAAAATTCAATTGGTCAATGGTAAGACCCTTATCAAAGACATTTATTATGCCTTGAAAGTAAAATCTCTAGGTATATAATATGAGGTTATATGTTGAAGAGTTTTTTTAAGTGCTAAAGGTGAAATGAATAGAAGATGCAATGAGTAAAAACTAGAGACTATATATGATTTTCAATAAAAATGATCAAGAAGGAGGGAAATAATTTATATCCTTACAACATAAAAGAAAAAATTAATGTACTGGGAAAGGAATCAACTCGGTTCCACCATCAGCAAAAAGAAACTGAATATCTACTCGGCATACTAGGTCGGTACCCCTCGTTAGGATTAAAAGGTAAATAATCCAATTAAAGATAATCAAAAATACTATGGGCTTCAAATATAAAAATTGACTCAGGCCCATTAGCCCAATAGAATGTCTATAAAAAGAAGATAAGAAATACAGGTAAGTGGTTGACTTCCGATCATTAAATAACATTTATTGCTCAGAACCGAATCCTGACTTTATCATCGGAGTGCCTTTTGCAGGTATTCTCCCTATCAGCAAATCAGTAGCAGGACGCCTGATCAGAGGTTTGAAGACAGTTGTTTCACAGGAAGGAGCATTTTGGCGCCCACCGTGGGGCCCGATCAACTTCATCACTCAGGATTAAGCATGGTAATGACGAGAAGCCAGCAGGAAGGGACTTCTAGGCAACAAATAGAGGGCGTCACGCCAGAGGAACTAGTACCGGAAGTAGTGATACAGGGAGGAACGGAGGAAAGCATCCTAGCTGTACTGAGGCAGCTAAGGGCAGAAATGGTGGAGATGAAGAAGGATCGCGAAAGAGATGCACTGGAACTCTCAGCCCTACGAAGGGAAAATGCCGGCCTAAGGGAGGAAATAAGGACACACGTCCCCTCCCTTACTACCCCCGTCGTCCAAGATCAAGGAGAATCATCAACGCTGCAAGAAAAATCAAGACAGGTATATCAATCGGTAACCGAAAATGACCGAGACGAACTTGTGAACCGGAGCCCGTTCATTCATCGCATTCTAGAAGCCGAGCTGCCCGATAATTGGAGAGGGTTGGTAATAGACAAATACGATGGCACATCCGACCCCGGAGAGTATGTGGACATCTTTACAACGCAGGTCGGTCTGTACACAGAAAGTGACGCCTTATGGTGCAGAATCTTTCCTACTTCACTTCGAGGACCTGCACTTAGTTGGTTCACCCGACTCCCCCCCTCTCCGTCGACTCGTTCGCAACTCTCACAAGACGTTTCAACTTGCAGTTCGCCACAAGCCGTCCCCATCCACTAACATCCTTGGCCCTAGTCAATATTCGCCAAGAGAAAGGAGAATCACTTAGAGCATTCATGGAACGCTTTGGCAAAGTGACTCTTTCAATTCATAATTTGGAACCAACAGTGGCTATGCACCACCTAACAACAGCGTTGAAACCGGGACCCTTCGTTAATAGCCTCTGCAAAAAACCCCCGATCGACCTAGATGAGTTAAGGAGCCGGGCTGCGAAATATATGCAAATGGAAGAATTATCCGAATACCGGAGCCAGGTACGGATGGAACAAGGACCTAACTCAAAAAATGAAGAAAGAAGGGAGACCTTTAAAACAAGGCGGGGGAACGACAGAGGAAAGGAACTTGAGCGACCACCTCGAGGACCGAAGTATCCCTCCGACACGACGCTCAACTCTAATCAGTCCAGAATACTTGATCAAGCGTTGGCCACAGAAATATTGAGAATACCTAGACGCGCTAACACTCCTCCTCGGGCAGATAAAAGCAAGTCTTGCCAGTACCATCAGAACAGGGGTCACACTACCGAGGAGTGTACGGCGCTAAGAGACAAAATTGAAGAATTGATTAAAGGTGGACACCTGAAAAATTTTGTACAGACAGATCCCACAAGGCAATACAACAAAGGAAGAGATCGCCACCCCGATTCACCAAAGAGATCCGACGACAAAAAATTTGAACGGCACAGGAGCAGGTCCAGGGAGCCCCCACCGAGAAGATATGAACAAGATAAATATCCGAAGAGGGTCATTAACACCATAGCCGGAGGGTTCGCTGGTAGAGGACCTACCCATTCGGCTAGAAAGAGGCATCTTCGGAATGTCCGTTCTGTGAATAATGTTTCATTGGGCAGCAAGATCCGGATCCCGCCTATTACGTTCACTGACGACGACTTTCAGGGAGTCGATCCGGTACAGGATGATCCCATGGTAATTAGTGTAGACATTCTTAACTGCACTGTCCGAAAAACGCTAATAAACCAAGGGAGCTCGGCTGATATCCTATACTGGAATACATTCAAGCAATTAGGCATCTCAGAACAAGAACTCAAGGAATATCATGAGCCGTTGGTCGGTTTTTCCGGGGAACGAGTAGAGACCAAGGGGTGTATCGACTTGTATACGTCCTTTGGATCAGAGCACGAGGGCAAACGCATAAGAGTCACTTATCTTGTAGTACATGCGAACACATCTTATAAACTACTCGGTAGACCGTCCCTGAACAAATTGAAGGCCATAGTTTCCACTCCGCACTTAGCCATGAAATTTTCGTCTGAAAGAAGCTGAATTGTTACCGTCCATGCCGATAAAAAAATAGCCAGGGAATGTTACTTCGCAAGTTTACGCCTTAAACCCTTTCAGGGGAATACCCGGGATGTCAATATTGTATCCCCTCGGTTGGAAGAAGAGTTGGATGTTGAACTCGATCCTAGAGTGGATGAGGAATATCGAGTCGAGCCCAATGAAAACAAACAATCTTTCCAACTAGGAACAAGGCCAGAACAAGTTGCGTATTTAGGGATCGGTTTGAACGAACAAGAGAAAGCCGTTCTCCAAAAGATGCTAGTAGATAATGCCGACTTGTTTGCTTGGACAGCCTCGGATATGCCTGGCATTGATCCAGCATTCCTATGTCACCACTTATCGGTCTATAAAGGAGCCAAGCCGGTAGCTCAAAAGAGGAGAAAAATTGGTGGTGATAGAGCAAAGGCGGTAAGAGAAGAAACCAGCAAACTAATACAGGCTGGCTTCATCCGAGAGGTCAGGTATTCAACATGGTTAGCCAACATTGTCATGGTCAAAAAAGCCAATGGCAAGTGGCGAATGTGCACGGACTTCACAGACCTCAATAAAGCATGCCCATAGGATGCATACCCCCTACCAAACATTGACACCTTGGTTGATGGTGCTGCCGGTCACAAAATACTGAGCTTTTTGGATGCTTATTCTGGGTACAATCAAATACGAATGTACCCCCCGGATGAGGAAAAAACAACATTCATCACAAATTCTGTAAATTTCTGTTATCGGGTGATGCCGTTCGGGTTGAAGAATGCAGGAGCAACATACCAGCGACTCATGAACAAAATTTTTGAAAAACAAGTGGGTAAATGCATGGAGGTGTATGTAGACGACATGGTAATTAAATCCCTTGCATTAAAGCAACATCTTGACCACTTAGAGGAGGTATTCGGAGAAGCCAGAAAACATGGTATGAGGTTCAATCCTGAAAAATGTACATTTGGTGTAGCTGGCGGTAAATTCCTGGGCTTCATGTTGTCCGAAAGGGGGATTGAGGCAAATCCCGACAAATGTAAAGCCATCATCGACATGGTCAGCCCTCGCAATGTCAAGGACGTGCAACGACTGACCGGGCGGATTGCAGCCCTGGCTAGATTCTTGCCAATAATGGTAGAAAGGTCTCGGCCTTTCATTGAATTGTTGAAGAAATCGCAAAAATTTGTGTGGACCAATGAATGTGAGGACGCCTTTGTACAGTACAAGCATGTGCTGGCAGCACCACCTGCGTTGATTAAACCAATACCGAATCTGGAAATGATTGTTTATTTGTCCGTGTCCGATCACGCCGTCAGTTCGGTTTTACTTCAAGAAACACCCGAACCGAACCCCGTATATTTCGTTAGCAGGACACTTCAGGGTCCTGAATCTCGGTACCAGTTAGTAGAGAAAGTGGTACTTGCCTTAGTCTACACAGCTCGTCGGTTAAGACACTACTTCCAGAGCCATCGAATGATAGTCCGTACAGATTGTCCGATGGCCAAAATTTTGAGAAAACCAGAATTGGCTGGTCGGTTGGTGACATGGACAATTGAATTATCCCAATATGACATCCATTTCGAGAACCGACGCCCCCTTAAAGCCCAGCTGCTAGCCGACTTCATCAACGAGTTTACGACACAACATAATACCATTTCAGACATGTGGAACCTGCACGTTGATGGATCATCAAATCAATCAGGCAGTGGAGCGGGGGTCATTCTTGAAGGACCGAATGCGTTCGCCATTGAACAGTCTATCCGGTTCGGATTTAAGGCATCCAACAATCAAGCCGAATATGAAGCTTTACTCGCCGGTCTCAGGCTAGCAAGGGAAATGGGGGTTAAACGCATTACTGCTTGGAGTGATTCAAAAATTGTAACCGAACAAGTGAACGATACCTATCAGATCAGGGACTCAGTCATGCTTAAATATTACCAGGAGGTTAAGAAAATAAAAATTGAGTTTGAGGAGGTATGCATTCGGTACACACACCAAAACATGAACGCACGAGCCGACAGGCTAGCTAGGCTGGCTAGCCAACGGAAACCAGGGCAGCTGCAGAGCATGGTTCACCAACAAATCCCCCAACCTAGTATCACCAAGCAAGAATGCATGGACATAGAAAATTCATCTCATAATTGGATGACCCCTCTTCTCCGATACCTCACTGATGGCAGTCTCCCGCAGGACGCAGCAGCAGCTAGGAAAATTAAAGCACATGCAGCCAAATACCTTCTTCTCGGCAAAGAATTGTATCGAAGAGGAATTTCCACCCCCATGCTTAAATGCCTAGAAGACGATCAAGCTAAGTACGTGATGAGAGAAATCCATGAAGGTATTTGTGGAACCCATTCGGGCGGAAGAACTATGGCAGTCAAAGTGCTCAGGGCCGGATACTACTGGCCAACAATAACTCAAGACTGTCAGTTGTTTGTAAAAATATGCATTCCCTATCAACAACACGGCCCTCACCTGCGCCAACACGCCGATACCCTTCGGCACATTAGCGCTCCTTGGCCCTTCGCTATTTGGGGAATGGACCTCCTCGGTCCTTTTCCCTTAGCAAAAGGGCAATGTAAATTTCTCCTCGTCGCCGTGGACTACTTTACCAAATGGATTGAGGCCGAACCCCTAGCATCGATCACGGCCCATAACGTACAAAAATTCACTTGGAAAAACATCATAACACGGTTCGGTCTCCCTCATGCACTAATTACAGATAATGGGCTTCAGTTTGCAAATCGACGATTCAACGAGTTCTTGGCAGGCCTGCGTATCAAACATAGAGTTACATCTGTTGAACATCTACAGACGAATGGCCAAGCCGAGGCTGCAAACAAAGTGATCTTGCATGAATTAAAAAGGAGGTTGGGTTCGGCAAATGGAGAGTGGGCAGAGAAGCTGCCTGAGATTTTATGGGCCTATCGGTGCACGCTGCAGACCACAACAAAAGAAACCCCCTTTCGGCTTACCTATGGTACTGATGCCATGGTGCCGGTAGAAATTGGAGAGCCGTCATTCAGGAGAGAGAATTTCAAGGAATCGGCCAATGAAGAGGCTCTGGCCGTCAACCTGGACTTGATAGATGAGATCCGTGACCACGCTGCCATCATGACCGAGGCTAGTAAAAGAATGATAGCTAGAAAATTCAACTCCAAAATAAGTTCACGACAATTCTACAAAAACGACCTGGTATGGCAAGTAACCGGGGACGCGCGCAAGAATCGACAAGAAGGGAAGCTGGCCGCCAACTGGGAAGGCCCCTTTCGGGTAGCGGCAAGATTAAATAACGGAGCATACAAATTGGAAACCTTGGCAGGAAAATTAATACCAAGAACCTGGAATGTCACTCATTTAAAGCATTATTATAACTAAAACCTTGTAATACGTGCACAGGTGTACTCTTTTCCTATCCCAGGTTTTATCCTCTTAAAAGAAAATGAAAAGGGGTTTTCCTGAGAAGGTTTTTAACGAGGCACCTAATCAATAAAATTTCTCTTTCTTCACCTATACGGTTTTTTACGCACTACACACCTTTCAAGCACCATTCCCTCCCAAGTTTCACTTGGCCAAGGTTGAATTGTTTCCCTCCCGAGTACCCCACTCGGTCAAGGATGCAGCAATTATATTTCCCTGCCGAGTACCCTGCCTCGGTCAAGGATGAAAAAATATATTTCCCTCCCGAGTACCCCACTCGGTTAAGGATGCAGCAATTATATTTCCCTCCCGAGTACCCCACTCGGTCAAAGATAAAACAATTGTATTTCACTTCTGAGTACCCCACTCGGTCAAGCGTAAATTATTTTTCTTTCAAGCATCTCTTTAAAAGGTCAAAATACCTCAATCCTGAATACTCCCACTCGGTCAAAATTAACGAATTACGAGTTCTTCTTAGTTACCATTTGGTTAAAGCTGAATTTTTAAAACGAGATCATCTCCTCGTCCCCTACTCGGCTAAAAATGAGTATATTAAGTGTATATCGTATGCAAGTTATTTGGCTAAGGATGATTATATTAAGCATATCGTATATATTAAGGCAAGTTGTGTGACAAAATACAAAGCATGAGAAAAAAGGATAAAATTCTATTTCAAAATAACTGGTTACAAAATGTGGGCACTAATGACCCATGAGTACAAAGGGCGAATAATTTAACTTTCTATTCTTTCCACTACCTCGGGAGCGGCTACCTCAGGGTTGGCAGTAACCTCAGGGAGGCGTCTCGGCACTTCGACGTCAGGTTCTACATCATCCTCAACTTCGGTGTAAGGAATGAACCTCCCGCCGAAAAAGTCCCTTGTAATGTCAAAATGAAAGTCTACCGGTACTTGGCAGAACCCATGACACTGGCGAATAGCATGGTTAAAACCAGCTTCATGCTTGTAAGATACTTGCTGAGAACACTTCTCGGCAAAGTTTCTCATCTCGGTTTCAGCCTTTTGCCTCTCCAGCGCCAAGGCTTCTTCCATCTCGACAGATTTGGCCCGTAAAGCCTCCTCCATTTGACAGGACTTTGCCTTTAACGCCTCCATCTCCTCCCCCCAGACCCTCGCCACCTCCTCGGCTGCATGTACTCGGTCCTCCATTATTTGAAAGTGCTCTTTGTATTGATTAACCTGACCCTGCAGGGATTGAACGGTCTCGTCCAGGCTAGCTTGAATCTCTCTACTCTCGACCAAAGCCTCTTCAGAAACCGAATAGGCAGCCTTTAACTTCTTAACTTCGAGAATAGGATCCACAACCAGCCGTCGGAGCATTGCGGTGGACCGTACATGAAGTTCCGCGTAGTAGCGCCACAGTGACTCATAGTCCAAACCGCCGACCAGTTCCTTCCCTGCATCAGATAACAGGTTTGGAGCAGCGAGCCGACCAGCATGTACCCGCTTACCAAGAACCCCTCGGCCAGCATGTCCAAGGGAACTACGGGAGAAGAACTGCTTCCCTCCCCAGCAGCTACCACTCGGGTCTGACTCCGAGCCCCTTGAACGCCGCCAGGCTCACCCGAGTGGGCATGTCGTCTCTTCCTTTCCCTTTCGGGCTCCTTGCCTTTGCCCTTGTCCTTGCGTTTCTTGGAAGGGCCTTCGGCTGGAACAAAATCTTGGGGAGGAGGGCGAGGTTCTGGCACCTCGGGAAGTTGGTCGATTTGAGGATGACGATGCTCCTCAACGGGCGTCCCTTCGGGCATTCTCTGCTTCAAAGTACGCCGGAAGGTCGGCACATCCACACCTCATTGAGCCATTAAACCTGCATTAACAATAGCAAGTCAAATCAATATAACTCAATTCCAAATACAAGTCAGAAACGAAATAACACATACCCTCCATATCCCACCGAGGATGCGGAGACTTGAGGACGAGGACTACATGTCGGGTAGGAATGTTCCGGGGAAGGGACTTCAAGAATTGCAAATCCGATAGCTCCCTAGCCGATAACATATCCTCAGGGTATGTGTCGTATCGGCGTGGCACCCGAGTCCAGTGAAAAGGGAATAGGGGATTGTCCTCGCTATCAAAAAAATAATTTTTACCTACAGGGTCCACGGTTACCTTGAAGAAACCGGTCTTAAAACCCTTAAAAGACGACGCATATGGCTTAAATAGGGGCAACTCGGGTTGCCTTATTAGAGAGACCCACCTCGCCAGGTCAGATGGACGCGTACAAAAAAAATGAAGAAAAAGACCTACACTAGGCTCTATATAATGGAATTTACAAAGTATTCTAAAGGCTTGAATTGCCGCCCACCCGTTCGGATATAGTTGTGTTGGCGCTACATTCAATACCCTCAAAACCCCCATTTGGAAATCGTCAAAAGGGAGCCTGATACCTAATTCCCTAAACATGTACTCATACATAAAGAAGGTGTCGGTCATTCCGACACCTCCCAGGAAAACAAAATCTGGGTTCTCACCCTCGTCCCCTTGACAGGGGTCAAGGTGTATAGGATACGGGTTACAAGCCTTCCATAAAGAAATATCACAATTATCTACAAAAAATTGAAGACTTTTATTTCTTTTGAAACGAGAAAAGTAGGCGGCCACTTCATCGTGCACCCACTCATAACCAGGCACCGTGCAAGGAGGAAACACCTGCCTTTCCCGAGGAGGAATAGTGCTAGGAAGGGGTTCAGGAGCGTCAGTATCACTTGACGATGACGTCTCGGTTTCGCTACTACCTTCGCCGACCTGTGCCTCTTCAGTCCTCCGGTTTGAAATAGACGAAACTTCGCCACTCCCCTCGGTTCCATTTATAATATCAACCTCAATGGTACTCGGCCCCGAGGCATTCGACAGGGAATCCTCCCACTCAATACGATCAGCTATGATAGAAAAGAAGTAAAGAAAAAATGAAACGCACCTTGCTAGTAGTCGGTAGGGAAGAAAAGCCTAGGATCTCTGAACACTTGTCGGTTTGGGACAAAGGTATGCAGGGTTCGGCACAGAGCAAAAGAGTAAGAAAGGGATGCAGGGACCACCACATATTTATAAGGGACTGATGTCGGGCAAACGAAAAGACGCCCTTTCGTTTCAAACCATCAGATCCTTTCCAGATCAACGGAGGAGATGGAGCACCCCTTCGCTTCACATACCCTCTGACAAATCCTCAAAACCAACATTCTAGAATATTCCTTCGCAAATTTATTATTTATAATCTCGGCCTATACCGTGTTGTTACTAAACTGACTACTCCTCAGTGTAAAAATTAATACATCAAACGTTACCATCAATCGAGACCGGACACCCCCACGATGACCCCCTCAGTGCAATTAAAAGCATTCCAACCGAATACCTATTCTAATATTACCATCTCCATTTTTAAAGCCCTTGCTTCGCAACTCGCTGGGCTTGGGGGGGCTAGTGTACTGGGAAAGGAATCAACTCGGTTCCACCATCAGCAAAAAGAAATTGAATACCTACTCGGCATACTAGGCCGGTACCCCTCGTCAGGATTAAAAGGTAAATAATCCAATTAAAGATAATCAAAAATACTATGGGCTTCAAATATAAAAATTGACTCAGGCCCATTAGCCTAATAGAATGTCTATAAAAAGAAGATAAGAAATACAGGTAAGTGGTTGACTTCCGATCATTAAATAACATTTATTGCTCAGAACCGAATCCTGACTTTATCATCGGAGTGCCTTTTGCAGGTATCCTACCTATCAGCAAATCAGCAGCAGGACGTCTGATCAAAGGTTTGAAGACAGTTGTTTCACAGGAAGGAACAATTAATTATGTAAATGACGAGCTAAGAAGCTTCGTGTAATAAGGTAATAAAATATCAAATATGTGACTAATTAAAACCCATTTGTTTAAGCAGTAACGTAATATTTACACGGCAAACAAAATATGTTTGAGGCCAACGGAGGTCACGAAGATCCAAAGAAACAGACCTGCCATCTAGAAACTAGGAAAAACATTCTCCATGACCAGATTTGTTGAAAAATCAAAAATATATAATGTTATTTATAATTTTTTATTTTTTATTTATTATTTTACTTTCTATTAAATTCTTGTTTATTTTATTTATGCATTATTTGATCTTTTATATTTTAGTTTCCTCAACTCAATATTATATTTTTATAATCAATTTAATTTTTTTTAACAAAAGGTACATATTTTAATTATATATAAATAAAAATGCATTAATAAATTACTCAATGTTATAAAAATTTATTGTAGTATTATTTTATTATAAATAAAAAATATTTAATTGAATTTTATAAATAAGAAAATATTGAGAAAGAGATTTATAAAATATGAAATTTATTAATTTAACGATTAGCTTAAAACATTTTAATAACTAAATTAAATTTATAAAATTGCATAAAACAATAATAAATATTCCGTTACATTACTTAATTTTAATATATAATAAATAATTAAAAATATAATAAATATCCATTATAAAATAAAATATTTATAAATATTTAAATTATGTAGAATTTAATATGCATTATCATAAAAATAATATTATATGGTTAATAATTTTATAAAAATTTATTAATAAATATATGTATTCAAGTTTACTACTGAACATGCATGTTTATTTTAATATAAAAATATAATATACATAAATAAATTTATAAATTAAGAATATATTTTAAAAAATTTATAAAATTAATTTACCTCATAATTTTTAAAATTATTTTAGTGAATTTGTTGTTATAGTTTATTAAAATAATTTTTCAATTTATTCTAAAAAATTATGTCATAAATTTTTATTTAATAATTTTTTTAAAATATATATTTAATTACATTACTAATTTAAATCCACCCTAAATATATTAACTTTTTCTGGTTCTTCAAACAAATATACTTTAGTTTAGTCCACTAAATATTTATTGTATTAAAACTTTCAAGCATTAAAAGTAGAAAATAATGCTTTTTATAATTTACAATTTAACAAAATGAATTATTTAATTATTTTAAAAATTATTTAATTTTATAAATTTTTAAACAGTCAAATTAATATCAAATGAATCTTTGAATTTTAAAATTTTTAATTTTTTAAAATTAAATTATAATAATTCATTTATTAAAATATGATCTTAAATAAATAAAAATATTGTTTAAAAATTATTATTATATTTAAAATAATCAATACAATAACATAAAATATAACATTTTATAAATCTCTACGTCAGTATGAAATCTACTTGTTAATAAAAAAAAAAGCATGTATTTTGTTCTTACTCTTTAATTTATTACTATTCTTAAAGAAAATATTTAAGGGATTTTCTTTCCTAATGTTTTTTTTTTTTTTTTTACTATATTAGACCGTTGAATATTAAAAACAAAAAAGAAAACTCTGCTCTTCTCTTTAACTCAGTCACATACTCACACCCTATTTTTTTTCAATTTGCTTAACCAATCACCATTGGAAAACTAATCCAAAACTTGCTGTCACATCATCTCTTTGTCCATTTTCATTAAAAAAATAATTTCTACATATCCTTCCAAAATTAAACTTCTAGCTATTGCCTAGTGGGTATCATAACTTGTTCAATCCCATCTTTATTTGTGTTTTATTATGGCAGCTTCTACATCCTACTAAAACACTATTCTTCTACCCATTTCACCAAATAAAATTGTGACTATTGAAATATAAAGATGAAGACATTTTTCTTATCTCAAGGCTTGTGGAATATTGCTTCTCAAAGAATAAATATTCCACAAGATAGATTCATCCTCAGTCAGTGGAGCACAATAAAAGAAGTTGCAAAAGTATGCATAAACAATCTTCATAGAAATATAGTATTGGTGATTACGATTAGTACTAATAGTAGCATCCACGCATAAGGATATATGCATTATATATATAAATCTTTTATAGATTCATAGATACAATTGCCTATTAATATTTTTTTTTCTAAAATTTTAAATTACTAATTAAATTAGAACAATTTTAATTAGCTAATCCATATGTTTAGCGATTGTCTATATATGATTGGATGTGTACCAATATTATTTAGATTAATTTTAAAATCATCTATAATTATTTTTAATTTAAATTTATACATTAATAAAGGTATGTATATTAATTTTTACATACTTCACATAAATATTTATTATAAACAAATTTTTATATTTTCTTTTATTTTCAACAAACAAGAAATAATGAAGACACCAGAATAAACATGCTTTTTCATTCTGATTCACTTGTACAATTATTATTATTCCATATTGAGTAGGATACAGGAGGCGAACAAGCTTATTTATATGAACTACGAAGCCAATTTTGATGGGACATAATTAGTGGCTTAGGAAACAGAGAGATTTAATACATTCGGAATTTTTCCTTTGTTTTCTGAAAAACTTCTTCAGCAATGTTAGCCTCTTTGCCATCAGCTCTTTTAATCTCCAACTGTGCTTTTTGATAGATTCCAGTCCCTCGCAGTGCATCTGAAATAAAGTCATCGAACCCAATTGCAATTGCTGCCTCTGCCTTTGCTCCATAAACCAACCTCTATATGTATAAATTTGAGTATTAATTCAAACAAACTATGCCCAAAGATAATAACAATAATAATAATAGGAAAAGCAAGGAATTTTCAACCTTAACTCGTGAAAGGTGTATAGCACCAAAACACATTGGGCAAGGTTCGCAAGAAGCATATATTTCACAATCTGAAAGTTCTATCTGCTTTAGCTTTTCACAAGCCTGGAAAACGAAACCATGGCCTTTATAATTAAAATTCCAATAATTGCATGCATAAATTATTAAACCAGTTTAATTTTCATGGTCTTGAAGATGTCATAAAGTTTCAGCTATATGTATATAATTGTGTGTGTGAGTGTGAGTGTGAGTGGACGCGCGCGCACTAAACCACACTTGGGCTCGGAAATCATAATGTATCATATGCGTAACATATTATGTCAGCAGCATATATAATGAAGTAACCAACCAAAATTAAGATAGTGGTAGCAAACTTTCCAGCAGGTATCCACTGAAACCATGCGACGATAATCCAGCTGAGACAAATTATGTTCAGCAAATATCAAATATGAACACTAGATGTCAAGAGCTAAATAGGAGATTACTAAGTTAGAAAATCAATTAGGAGTATCTTCACCATAGTGAACATCGTCCTTTCAATCATGTCAAATCAAACCTTACAAATTCTTAACCATTAACCTCTAAAATCAAAATATTACAATAGCCACCTTCCTCATGGATCTCTGCTTAGCATTACTTGGAGAACCTGCTGAAATGATAATATATATGTGCACATCCCCTTCATAATATTACAAGAATAAAGAATTGCACATAAACAATCAATTGCCAAAGAGGGCAGGGCAGGGCATATCTCTCTTGTGGAGTGATGAATGGCTGCGACAGTGAGAAAAGCATAAATGTAAATACCCATATTTTTACTAAATGAAAAATTGCACTTTAATGGCATTTAAGGAAATTATTTCGCTATAGATAACTGTCTTACCTTTCTTATTGCTGTCACTTCAGCATGAGCAGTTGGGTCTGTGTTCCTAAGAACCATGTTGTGACAACTTGCAACTACTTCATCATTACAAACAATAATGGCACCAAAAGGACCTCCATCTTCACAATCTACTCCTTTATATGCTTCCTCAACAGCTTTCCTTAAAAATTTGTGGTCTCTATCCTGTATAGCTATTTGACAAATGCAACACAAAAAGCAAAATTAATGTGGCTAGTGCAATACCAAGTTTTGGCACTTGGCAGCTAGGCAAAATCATAATAAAAAATTGAAAGAGGGGACTTTAATGTATCAATAACTTAACCAATAAACCTTGATTCATATATAACCAAAGAAAGAGTCCAACAAGAAAGCTAAATAGCTCTAAATCATTACCTTCCTGATGACCAGCAAACGCAGAAGCTACTGCAACGGTTCCATCCTTAGTTTGAACCACTGCGATGATTAAAAAAATGCAAAGAAGTTATAAATAATATTACCAAAAATAAAATCGAACATTGCCTATTTGGATGCACCAATCCACTAAAAGTTCATGTTTCATATTTGGGTGGCTTAAAGTTAATTTATACACTTTGACTTTGTTGCTTCTTGTACAAGTTGAAGAAGCTTTCTGGGTATGTATGACCTTGTACTGCTCTTTGTAAAATATAAGACCAGAGGACAATGTACACAATAAGTGAGACCATAGAAAGTGGATTAGAATCAAAATTTAAAGTAAATGAGAAATAAGGCTTAAATAAATTTCTACAATATCAAGCACCTTTCGATCCACCGCGGACATCGTAGTGGTAGGTGTGTGATATTTTTGAACACTTGTCATGTCACACTCTTAATTAAGTGCCTAATTAAAAATATATTTTTGGGTCAGTTAAAGACATTTGGGCTGACACTTTTAGTAGATGAACACACATCATTATTATTAAAAAAATTGCAGAAAAATTAGCTTAAAACATAATACAAATTATTAAAAAGTAATGTCTTGAATATATAACTTCATTTTATTTTACAGTGTATTTTTGAAAGACCAAATACTTATTTTTTTAATATTCTTTTGTCAAGCTTATTATAATTGAATATAAGCGTGTGACCATGTGTGCGTATGATGTCTTGGTGTCCAGTGTTTTAGACATTAATCATGTGAGAGTGGCCGTGTTAATTATGTCGAAAGTTTTATCTGTGTTTTATAACTTTTGGATCAACACAAAAAATACGTAAGAAACTGCATCTAAATTTTGTCTTAACAAAACTAGGAACTGATGCATGAGGATTGAAAAGGTTGAAATCAGATGAAATTCAAATCTGGGATGTAGCAAGAAGAAAGAAATTGATCAAGAGAAGAAAAATAAAATCAAAATCTACATATATAAAGAAAAACAGAAATAGATACAGATAATGGAAAAGTAGTCTTCCATGAGAAAAAGCTCATACCATTAATTTCTTCCATGACTTGGTTGATGTCAATAACTAAATAAAAAGACCAAATGAGTAGGTTAAACTGAAACTCCGTGTGTGAACCCTGACTAAATGAGCAACCTTGTTGCGCCATTTATAGTAGACATTGGTACATTGCTGATGGCGATGAAGTGCATGAGCAAGAATCCGAATGGATGCTGACCATGAGAGAGAAAATGCGTTCCACGAAAACGTAGAATATGGTCCCCTCCTACATAAATAAATCCTTAGACGATGCTATCACGATGATGCTAAATGCTGGAAAGAATTAGATGCAAAATTAAAAAATATTCATAGGGCAAACGAACTAGTCTTTTCACATTTAGTGTGATGCATGTGTTGTTAGGAAAGAGAGGAATAGACATAGAAAAAATATATATACAATGATCTAATAATAGAATAATTTTAATTTTATATTTTTTTTATCTTTAATTTGTGAATAAAGTAATTGAGGTATAAAAATGTCCTAAGGTTGGGGTTGAAATGTGGATGGGAATTGAGATAAGGGTCATTGGATGGTCATAAAAAAGGTGCAATGTGTTTTGGATCTCGTGACTCACATCAGAGGTAGCGTTCCTATCCCATGCCTTTACATATTTTGACAATTGATAAGTTGTCAACAATATCACATTGGATTCCATGATCCTTCTCACCGCTGTTTTCTTAAAAGGTTTGCTTATACATATTCTACAGTATATTGATAATCAACAAAAGTGTGTCAAGCTAATAGTAGTAGTAGTAATAATAATAATGTATTTATGTTCATATTTAAATCATAAATATATTAATTTTAATAATATCTAATTCATAAAAATAAGTATATAATTTTAAAAGATAATAATAAAATATAATTATAAAAATAAACTGATAAAATAATTTCATAACTTATCAATTATCACTGTATAAAGATTTCTGAAATTATTTTTTGTTTATAAAAGTATTGTTATATTATATTTTTAAATTATATATTATTAATCTCAGACTATCCAGACTTTAACTAATATGATATATCATTCAAATTTACAAAGAATGATTAATTATAATTTGTGTACAAAATTACAATTAGCACGTGAAGCCTTTTTAGTAACTATTTTAACCTTGTTTAAGGGAAATCAAAACTTCCCACTTGAACCAACAGCATTGATATGGTGTAAAAGAGAAAAATTTTAATTTATTAACTACAATAAAATAAAATTTTAATTCATAAGTTGTTACTTAACGATATTTAGATAAAATATATAGATAAATAATTATCATTCGTTGATTTCCCCTTTATATTAATATATATATAGGCATTCTATAGAAGAGGTGATAAATGAGAAAGCACTCTAAGAGTTATTATTTATGTTTCAAAATTTTTTATTTTTTGCAGAAAAATATAATTTTATTTTTTTTAACTATACCTTTTTACAATAAATTTAACTAATTACTATAATTTTATCTCTTATTTGTTTAGTTCTTTCTTCTTGAATAGTGACTAGTGAGCATATAGAAAGTTAAAGAATGGTAAATAATATCGGTAGTATTTAAATGAGGATGTTTTAATTAAGATATAAATATATTTGTAATTTTGTGCAGAACTTCAGAAAAAAAACGAAAAAAAAACTTTATAATATAATTTTGCTATATATAAAAAAAATTGAAATTAAGCAAAAATAATGCAATATTAATGGAATTTTATCCTTATATCAAAGCACATTTAAAGACAATTTCAAGGACTATTAAAAGCTTTTAAGAGAATAGATATGTCGCTCTCTTTTATTTCAAAAGTTAATGCTTTTTTTTTTCATATATGAAATTATGTGTTTTTTAATTAGACAAATTTTAATTAATATACTCATTAAAAAATCAATAAATCGCATAATTACATCAACTTTGAAAAAACAATGCTAGATTATTTAGGTAACTCATTTTTATAAAACTAAATCTATTAATCAATAAAAGTAAAAAAAATAAAATTAACATGTCACTGTAAATCTATAATCTTAGGTAAAAGAAATAATTATTTAAAGAGTTATTGTTTAAACTATCACAGCAAAAAATTAAAATAAATCTAAAAATACGAAAAAAATAACTTTATTCTTATTTATTATTATTTTATAAAATAAAAATTAAATAAAGAATTTCGTCTATTTCTTTTTATATGAGCATATTATTATTGTCTTCGTCGAAATTTTATCAGGGATGACAGCCTGTACGTGGTAGGTAATTTGAAAAGGGATCACACTTCTAATCAATTGAGGTGTTTTTTATAGGTTTATTTTTTTTATATATGATATTTTAAAATTATATATACTAAATTATGATAATTTTGAAAATATTATAGAAATATGGAATTCCAAATTTGTTAATAATAATTTTTAATATATATAATTACAAAAAAAAATGCTATTTTTCACCCATAACAATAATAATTTTTTATTAAAATTTAAAAAAAAAAGCATTCTTAAGAATAGAGATGACATTTTGAATGTTTTAACCATGATTTTTAGACTAACTACGTAATGATTTGAATTTTAATCACATATAGATAATATTTATTTATTTGTTGTGAGAAAGATGCAGACAAATTTATCTATATACACTGACATAAATCTATTTTTTCACCGGTCCTGGTTAATTAAATTAACATATAAAATACTAGAGAAAGATGACCAATTTTTTTTTAAAAAAAAAATTGTCATATGGTCTTATATATTTTTAATACATTTTATTACTTATAAAATAAATATTAAACAAAGATTATTATTAATTAGTTTTCTAATAATAAAGAAATATTAAAATTACAAGGAGATGTCCATTAGTAATATATTTGAATAAAAACTTTAACTTTTAATTCATTAATCAATGTTCAAAGGACATTAGTTGACAATTGCATTTTTTTTAATTTTCTTTTTCTTTTAAACTTTTTTTAGAGTATTAGTAGCATTAACCTTATATATATATATATAATGTTAAAAGACAAAAGCATTTGAATTTATTTAATAAAAAGGGGAACTGTTGATAACGAGCTTGCTCTCTTTATCGTTTGAAATAAAATGAAAAATATAATAATTATTAATACTAAAAATTTATTAAAAAATATTTATTATACTTTTATAATTTTACTATAATAAATATATTTTTTTAAATATTTATAAAAATTTAAAAAGCTAACATTAAACAAACTCAAATAAAATATATGCAAGTTGAGCTGCAATAATTGGAGCATTGATAAGTTTAGGAAAATGACATCTTACGAGTGATGTATTGCGTCATCGTTTTTTCACTCTTTATTTTTTATGTCATAATGTGCGAGTTGATTGTTGATAATACGTAATTAATGAAATTGCTTTCATGATAACAATTATTTATGGTTACGTTTAACTCACCTCATCTAGTAAATAATTTCATTTTAAATGAATTAACGAAGTTAAAATATGAGTTTAATTTTAGTGTGTTATTACTCTCAAAATTTTGACCTTATAAATAAATTAAAATACATTATTAATATAGTTTTAATATTAATTAACACAAAAATTGTTGACATAAAATAAATATAAAAAATGCATATGTATTCGTCATCATTAAAATACTTAATATTTTTTATTTAATAATTAAGAGTAATAAGTTCTTGAGGATACTAGTTAGTAAGACCTTTAATTAGTCTTTGAAATTAATTTTAAATATTAGAAAATGATAAAATTTTATTAAAAAAGTTTACTTTTTAATGAAATTTTATCATTTTTATATACTTAAAATCAATCTGAAAATTTAATATAACCTTAAAAAATTAATGATCGATGGTTGTTACGTGAGGAAAATGATAAAAGCAACTGATTAATCCAAGAATAAAACAAAATTAACATAATTACAACCTATTAAAGCTCTGATTTAAGAATAGTAATAATGCTGAATTGCTGATTCATTCTTCCATTATTTCATCAAAACAATTAAACTATACACTGTCAAAATCCTTATTTAATTAACGGTGTAATCTCCCCAACTCGTCCACCTTTAATCTCTAAAATCCCATCTTTATCCTCACTTTCATGTCACTGTTGCTCAAGCTGCGTCACCTATATATATATATATATACACACCTTAACTTGCTTTGAATCCAAATCAGCTACTCTTATCCTTATCTCCATTGAATTCCTGGACATAACTTGACATTTATCCTCTTCAATGTTCACACGCATCATTACTTAATTGTGTTTCTCACTTTCAGTACTTCTCTTAATTGTGTTTCTTACAAACAATAATGATATTTATAGATATGTAGTGTTTTTACTTATTTTATCTTATTATTACATTGCACTATATATCACATTTCTTATTTTTTTTCTCTATATATCATTTTGTTTTAGTACTTCATATATCAAAAAATAGAGTGTACAATATCGTTATTCTTTTCTCACGTGTCTATCCCATCTATAACGTCTCCAAGAAGAATTCTTAATGGTCATAACCCCCCCCTTTTCTTCCTTTTCAAAAGATTGTCACTATCCAAATTTTAGAGACCCCACAAATTATGTAAGTTCCATCATGATTTATATTACAAGATCCATTGAGGACACGATAATTTTCATGGCCATGATTTTTGTTGACGACAAAATAGTTATATACGAATGAATAACTTTCTCTCAATTATTTGAGACCTAATCTTCAATGTACACGTTGGCAGATTGAGAACTTGTATAATCGTACTGCACTGAGTGATTGTGATAAATTTTAAATTTAATGATAAGGTCACCAACCCACATAGGTAGACGTTCTTATAATCACAAATGCTATAAGGTTATATATCTCCTGATGGGATTTTGAAGAGTCTTAGATTTTATTTTATTAATGATAAGTTTATCTATAAATACAATTTTAAATCATGATAGGATAATTTGCAGGGTATCTTGGTTAGCAATTGATTGTGATCGTGTTTGCGAGACTAATCTTCTCATCTAATTCATGAAAGGATACCCTCTATAAAATTGATGAGGAAACAACAATGTTTATTTTGAATTTGGACAACTTTTTGTTTCTTTAATTTATTATTTCCAAAAAAAAAAACAGACACTCATAAATTAACACGAAAGGTTAAATAGACATTTCGTTGTCAAATTATGTTTGAATAATCAATTTTATTTTCTAATTTATTGTTTTATTCCTTTAACTCGCCGTCTTAACATCACTAACTTAAAATAGTTAATTAAATCGTTATTCAGACTTTGATATAATTAGTAAAACTGGAAAGAAAACTAGTTAAAATTTGATATTGTTTTGTTGAAATGAAGTAATGAAGGATGGTTTTTTATTCTAGAACATAGATCTCAGGTTCAAGTTAACTTTCATGTTTGTTTAATGCTCGTTCGTTGTGTGATGTCAACCGTTTTGACTTTAAAAACGATGATGTTAAAAGATTGCGGTGGGTTGTAGCGGTCAATCATGGTGATGCTCGTAGATGATCTATTGAAAGATGTGCTCCATGTTCTTGCTCAATGCTAGTTGAATTTGTTGCTTTTTCTTTGTTTCTTACACACTAATCGCAATGAAATTATACATTTCGAGGCCGAATAAATACTAAAGAAACAGTTTCTTTCATAAGAAATTCATTGTGTTAGCGCAAGTAACTTGAGTCATAGTACTAGAATTAGGAATTGTTATCCTTAAGACATGATACGAACTAAGAAATCCTATTATAAATGGTATAATTAACAATCCTGTTAAATACTCAAAGGTTTATTTGGATTTTGATGAAGAAATAGACCATCTCAAGAAACAAGTTACCTTTACAATGAAAGTATCAAAATTGAAGAAACACTAGCTAGTTTAGATAGTTGATTAATGAAACAGAACTATCATTAATGAGAATAAAGTTACCTTTTATTTGATTGTCTAACAAAATTGATTGTTATATCTAATATAAATATATTATCGTAAGTCTATATAATAAAAGTACATCCATGTAAAAGATGTAAAAAAAAAAACCTAGATTCTCTCATTGTTGTTGGCCATAAATGATGGATGAAGATAAAAAAAAAACCAATAAAAGTAGAATAACAAAGAAAATTATCAAACGAATATTAAGAAAAGAAGAAATGTAGAGTAATAAGAAAAGAAAGAAGATGAGAAGAAAAAAGCAAAATTAACATTTAAAACAACGAAATAGTTAAAACAAAATGTAACATATGCAACTCTCAATAATAACATTTTACATAATTTTGGCCATAAGTTGCTTGGCGTGACAAAGATAAATAATAATAATAAATTATCTGAAAAATTAAAACAACCAATAGATTACCACATAAAAATAATAGAGATTTTTAAAAATTTTAGATTAAAATTAATCGACAATACAAAATCAAGGATTAATTTTTAAAAAAATGAATATAGAAAATAATAAAACTTATGTATAATACCTATGTCATATCTTATGGTAAGAGACTGTGAATAGCTAGTTTTATTCGAGTCTTATTTAAAAATAATTTTAAAATTAAAAATTAAATATAATGATAAGATTTTGTAGGATATTAAAAAAATAAATAATACAAATTCAAACTTTTAATTTTTAAAATTTAAATCAAATTTAGAAATTCTCAAAGTAATTTGTAGATTTGTAGAAGTATGAATAAGAAATAAAAAAAAATGATTAGTAGTCATAAAAAATAAGAAATGTTTGGAGGTTAAAGTCTTTAGTCAAAATAAAAAATTTATATTAAATAAGATCTAGAATTTAAGAGGTAAGTTATAAATAGAAAATTTAGGTCCTTATAAAATAGAAACCTTTTATTTAAGAGCATGGGAGAATTGAGAGATAAAGAAAAAAATAGAGAGAATTCAAGAAAAAGAACCTAGGAAATAAAGAAAGAGAAGAAGAAAGGGAAATTAAAAAACATCAAAGTTCTGAAAGTACTTGAAATAGAAAAAGTTGAAATAAAGAGAAAAGATAATTACAGAAAAGCTAACATTTGAAAACATTGAGAATCTTTAAAACACATGAAACAAAAAGAGAGATAATTGTAAAGAAGCCAATATTTTGAAAGTATTGAAAATCTTTAAAACATATCTTGATGTCAAATCTAAATTAAGAAAAAAAATTTATTTGCTAAATCAAATAAGCCCTTTTTATTTTATTATTTTTTTGTTTGTTTTTATTCTTCATTTATCATGTGTATTATGTTCTTATTCCTCATTTGTTCATATAAAAGTTTTAATTATTTTCTTAACCCTAGACAAAAATTATCTTTTTTTTTTTTTACAAACCTAACATTTCTTAACTCTAGAAATTTAGGATTGACTTTCAAGGCTTACAAAAAAATGAATAATTTCCAAGGTTTAAAAAAATAACATTTTAGGGTTAGAAAAATTAGAGTTTTCTAGAGGTTGCAAAAGGGAGAAAATTTTAGAGTTTGAAAAATAAGTCTGCAAAAAGGAAAGTTTTTTCGAGTAAAAAAAAATTATTAGCACCTGCAAGAACATATTTTTAGGGTTAGAAAATGTTAGTTTTGTAAAAAAAAGATAACTTTTGTGTAAGTTAGAAAAAAAAATTAAGACTTTTATATGAACAAATAAGGCACAAGAGCGGAACAAACATAATAAATAAAAAATAAAAACAAAAAAAAATAGAATCAATAGGTCTTATTTGATTTAGTAAATAAATATTTTTATCGACTTAAATTTGACCTCAAGATATGCTTTGGAAATTTTCAATGCTTTCAAAATGTTGATTTTTTTTTGTAACTATCTTCTTTATTTGTTTCAACTTTCTCTATTTTTAAGTACTCTTAAAATTTTTATTTTCTATGATCTCCTTCTCTTTTTCTTTCTTTTTATTTTCCAAGTTTTCTTTCTTAATTTTTTTCTCTTTTTTTTATCATCCAAAATTTTCCATTTTTTTTATTTTGCTCAATTATATATATATATATATATATATATATATATAATTAATTATCCACTACAATCTTCTTATTTATATCTTATTGTCTAAATTCTAAATTCTATTTGATATATATTTTATATATTTTTTATTTTTATAAAAGATTCTAACTTTTCACAATCTCTTAATTTCTAATATATAATTACTAATTAGTTTTTTTTTCTTATTCATTGTTTTAAAAATCTACAAACTGACCATTTCTAAATTTAATTATAAATTTAAAAATTTAAATTTTAAAAGCTAAATTTAAATTATATTTTAATTTCAATAATTAATCTTTTAGTCTCTTTCATTAATAGTATTATAACAAAAATTAAAAATGTAATTAAATATTTATATAAAAATTAAAATATAAATTTTTTAAGCACACAAACTAATTTATAAACATGTAATAATTATATAAATTAAATATATAATTAAAATTTAATTTTAATAAAATTTAAAATATACATTATATAAGTGATAAAAAGCTTAAAATTTTTGAAAAAAAAATTTAATGTGAAAAGACACTAAATATTACATTTGTAAATTTTTAAAACTACAAACTCGTATATTTAATTTAAATATCATTACTTATGATTTATAATTATTTACATTGATAAATATAAAATTTATTAATTTAGTAAATAGATAAATTAATAAAAAATTATAATTATAGTTAATAATTTATTAATTTAGCATTTGTAACCATATTTAGTATTAAATATTTTTAAAAAATAATTAAAATACACATTAAATTTTATATTTAACATTTATATATAAATTTTTATATTAAAGATTTATAATTTTAGTTTTTTATAAATATTTTTACAATGGTAAAGACTAAAATATTTATAATAAACTTTAAATATAATAAAAAAATATTTATTTAAGAATTAAAATACAAATTTTTAAGTATAAAAATTTATTTAGAAGTATGATATTTACGCGAACTAAATATATAATAATAAAAAAAAAAACTAAGAAAAACACCTTCTCGAGGCCAAGTGCGATTGCGACAGGTCTTCCGTAATTCACCAAGAAAAGCATGAAGCAGAAATTTGCAAAATAGGAAACTTTGCATAAAATCATCAATGTTGTCTCAAATGCATTTGCACTCTCCGCGCCCTTTCAGCCTCAACAAATTCCCAATAGCCGCCACTACTCGTTCTCCGTTCTTCTTTCGAGTCAGAAGCTCAACTACATCACCGCCGGTCGGAGATTCGATCCCGGCGCCGGTAATCTCAGAACAGCAGACACTCAATTCGTCGCCACCTACGCAATCGATAGTTACGGCAGCATCACCATCACCCATTGCGGTGTCCAGAAATCTAGGGTTTCGACCCACCCCTGAATTGGGCCTTCTCTCTCACTTGTTCGTTCTCTCCATGGTACTATAGTAACCATTACCCTGTTGCTCATCAATTAATGATCCAAATTCAAAATTGTATCTTGAAGTTTTTTTTTTTTTTTCTGCAGGCTTTTGGTGCATTTTTCTCAGTGGTCGTGGTTTCCATTCCAACCTTAGTTGTAGGTTTATAGAGCGTGTGTTGCAAATATCAGTGATGGGTTGAATCATAATGGTCAAACTGTTGCTATTCATTTCTTGCAGGCTTTTGGAAGATTAGGAGCTTCGGTGAAGAAATTGTCTAAGGTTGTTTCAGAAGAGGTACCTGGAACTTTATCTTCTCTCAAACTTTCTAGTATGGAGCTGAACGAATTAACTCAACAACTTAGCAGTCTCAGGTTAGCTTCATCTCATGTGTTTCTAGCTTTTTTTCTTCTTCTTTAAGGTTACTGTTGCCTTTAGGTATTCTTGTTAGCCTTTCTCTGATATGTTATGTCAACTATTTTTAGGCATAAAATTGGGGGTGTTCGCATAGGGAAGAAGGATGAAAGCACTGCCAGATCGAGGTCCTTTCGTAAGAAGAACCCAGGATCCTGACATTTCCAACATTGCTTAAATGTGTAAAAGATTTTGTTGTTTCTGGAATTGAGCTTGCTTCATTGAATGGGAATCAATGAATAGGCTTAATGTAAGCCTTTTCATTTGCATGGTTTCTGTTGAAATTACTGGATGTGTATTGAAACATGATCACAAGGAACCACTAGTGGTTTATAGTTTGAAGCCACTTTTGCAAACTATCGAGAAAAGCTGCTCAAGGAGGGTTCTTTGTTGATCCTGAGGATCATCAAATTAGTGACGCTGACTCAGTGTTGGCTCATTTGGGTTATTTGGTTCATCTGCCTCGTGTAATATGAAATATATTTCAGGTATGAGCTATTGTTTATTAATACCACCATACTTTCACATAAGCTACAAGACTGTCATGGTCTGTAGTTTGAAGTGTTTGAATGCTAATCTGTGTACCTAAATCCTTTGTTTAATACAATTCCATTTAAGCAGAATTTGAATTTTACTTGAAATCAACATGAATATTTACAGTTTTGCATACTTCTTTAGCGTTTTAGCAGCTTCTTTTGCATCATCTGGGACAGGCATGTTGCTTAGTAGAGTTACCCTAGAAGATGAAACCAAGGATCTGTTTTGTGAGTTTGAAGGATCAATCTTCCAGATTCTCACCTCCCACACCTGCTACAGAGAAATCTGTTATAACATGATTTTATCATATTTGTAAGCCTTGGCAATAAAAAGGGCTCATATTTAATGCATGGAGTTCTGTTTCTATTTTCAATGACTTTCATGGCTGGCAATCTAACCAGCATATATTTATTCATTACTGGATGCAGTTTCTAAACCATTGTAATCTGAATATTTTGAGGGCAGTAGAATTCCCTTGGTGAATGCCCTTGTTAAACAGAATGAACCAAGTTATTAATGATTATAAGCCCATAGAAAATATTGATTCTGAGATGTATTTCCCCTGTACCTTCAAATTGTCTATGCACTGAAAATGAATGGATACTAGTCAATCATTGAGAATCGTGGAACATAGGTTGGGCTTTGGTGGGAGTGGTTAGTGAGAATGTACAAAAACATTGTTCTCTCTTTTCTTCCCAATCAAATCTTTGTCGGGATTACTGAAATTTTGCTTAATGTGGTTTGCCATTAACTGTGAAGTTTTTGGTTTTATGAAAAGATGGCTGATTACATGACGAATAATTCTTGCTTGAGATCGTTGGTTTCAGACCCCCTCTATAATGTAATGATCAATTCAATTTTTGCAAGAGGATCTAAACCATTAGAAATGTAGGTTTATCCATCATTAGTAACAATGATTCTTTCATCTAGTCACATGAGTATCTCAACTATTGGTTTTAAGGATGAATGACAAAGACATGCTAGCAATATATATACTTTTATTATATTTTTAGTTATTGTTAAAATTTATTAAAAATTATAGAATCATGTGAGTTTTATCTTTTTTTTCACTCTTAATTTAATGTATTATAATTTTGTAGCTTTTAATAAATTTTAGTTAATAATTAAGAGTATATTAAAAAGAGTGTGATAGAGATTGTTTAGTTAGCATTCTTTATATATATTGTTTTCATTTTAAAGACTATCAATCATCAAGATCTTCTTAAACCTTCAAAAGGAAAAAAACAAAAAAACAAAAACAAAAGGATCATCGAGATTATCATAACAGTTACCTGCTAGAGAAATGTTGCTCTTACAACAAATTTCTTGCACTTTTGTACCAATGAGAGAGGGATACGAAAAGAAATGGAGGACGTGATGAAAAGAGATAAACAACAAATATTATAGAAATTTTTGTAGAAAATTATGGTGGAAATAAAGTATCTCATTTTAGGATGTTTCAGGCGATAGGTATACTGTGTTAATCTTGAGGTATTTAAATTATGAAGCTCCTTTTTCATATACCTGTGTAACTTGGCAATTGGATTGAGTCATTTAGCCCTTATTCGAATCCAGCCAAATCATCCCAGTTAATTACAATTCTAAATTTCATAGATTCAGTGGATTTTGTTAATAAATCAAATTTGTAAATTCCAACCACTTTCATGACCAGGCTACATTAAATACAACTTTCTTTGCAGAAACCCGATGACCCACAACTCCATACCTCATTGGCAAGGACGAAGCAAGCGTGCAAGTTCGATCCTTTAAAATCAACTATAACATTTTTATATTTGTTTTTTTTTATTTTCTCTTTCTTCTTATTTCTTTTTTATTATATTATTTATTACAAATTTCATTATTTTTCTATACCTATTTTACTCCTATTTAGTAGGTGTGAAATTATGTTTTTCCTCTTAAGATAAGAGAGATTGCCCACTCAAATTACAGCACTAACATACACAATGGACCACTAAGTAATATGACCCAAGCAAGGCCATCATTGAGTGGATAGACGATTTAATATTTTTTACTTTTAAAAATTCTGTTTAAAATTATTTTTAATTTGAAATGAATGCATTTGAATGGTTGATTGTACACAGTTTCTGAAAAATCGTAGACAATCTCAAGACATCAACCACTGAAGTAGGGTACGACAAAACGTGAGATCAATGCATTTGCCATTTAGTGTCATGTTAGAAGGAGAATAAATGGAGGGACGGAATAAAAAAATATTTTTTCATGCTCCAATAAGATAATATATATCCTTGGTATAATAGAAAATTAAAAGGAAGAGAATGAGTGATAATATAATTTACAGTGTGATAAAAGATAGAGACAAGGGAAAGTACAACAAATTGAAATATGAAAGAATCAAAATTAGGTACGAAGGAGAGATGAGTGGGTAAGGAACAGGGATGATCGGAGAGAAGAGCAAATGGCTGAATAAAATGCCCACCCATTTTATCAATGAAAATTGTTTAATCAATGCATTATGTTTTAATTTTTTTAGAATATTAAATAGATTAATGGTATATATTTTTATCCACATGATGCAAATTTCCTAATTCGATCCATACATTTGTCACCGCAACATGTGAGATCAAATTCTAACTTGTTCCATAGATAGCATTATGTCAGAAAAGATAAACAGATAGAACTTGCTTAAGTTGTTCACTCGCCCATATTGTTATCGTCATCTCAATTCTAATCAATTTTATCTTACATTAACTACATATAAATTGCAATAAAAATTAATTAAATTGCAATAAATATAGTGATCGGGAAAACAAACACCTGAATGGTTCTTCCGACATTTAAAGGGGTAGCTTCAACGTGTAGCAAGTCACCCATCTCTGCTCGTTTCAAATGGTTAATACTAAGCTGAATTCCAGCCACTCTCTGATACCCAGAAGCCATATGTGCTCCCATGCTCGCCAATGACTCTGCTATCATTGCCGATACCCCTCCATGAAGCACTTTAAATGGCTGCTCCATAAACAACCCAAAATTAAGTACTAAATAAAAAAGAGCATGAAAAGAAACACTTTTTAACATTCAGAAACCAATTTAGAGAAAACAACTATAATAAATGACCTGGCAGCACTTTTGGGTCACAAGGAGACGGCCTGAGACTCTTTGCGGTGACAAATCTTCAATCTCGAACCCAATCAAATGAAGGGGAGCATCCAAAGAAGCAGTCTTTGATGTTGTTGATGATGATGGCTGGTCCTCCATGATCAATTTTGATCAAAGGTTTTGTGTGATTTTCCTTGTTAACAGATTATCTTGCGACTTTTGTAAGTTGGGAAAGTTTTATAAAACGATTGAAGAATGGTTGGAAGAGGTTGATTAAGGGGAGATTTTGGGGCCCTGAATGGTTAGTTGGGGGTGTACATTTCAATGTTGATAAGCCATTAGTTCATACAGCGCATTGTTGGTGGGAGTCAATCTTGTCAACCGTAGAATGAATATAAAAATAAAATATGTCCTAATGCCATAGCCAAAAATCAATTTTTAAGCTTTTCAATACAATATATATGTTTTTAATTAAAATATGCGTTTTAGGTTAATTCTTACATATTTTAATTCTATTTAGTAATTTTAAATTTATTTTATTAAAATTATTTTTTTTCCACTTTAAATCAAATCAAATGACAATAAAATATCAATTTAATTGACAAGATAAGAAAATAAAACAAAATGTCTTCTCTATTATTAATCATGTTACCTTTTTATTAATAATATTTATGAATGTTTTCACTGTACGTAGAATTCAACAGTAATCATATTTTATATTTTAATAGAAGGAGATTAAATTACATTATTACAATTAAATAAACAATTTTACCATTACATGCTTTTTTTAATGGAAAATTTTATTTTAACATCACTTGTTTGAGTAAAACAGTATATCATATATATTATTTTATTTTAAAATTTTTTATTTGTTTATGTTAGATTTTTTAATATATTAATAGTATTATATATTATTTATTAAATTTTATCCCAGATAAGATTTCTAAGTTTTATTTGATATAAACTTTATTCTGTGCCTATAATATAATTTTTTTCTATTTTTATAATGGGCCAAATTAAAAATAAAAGATTGATAGTCATGTCTCTTTTTTAAAACGATAAAAGATATAAAAGGTATAAACTATTCATAAAAATATATTTGACTATTACACTTAGAAAAATATTAAGCCCAGCCTTTATAATTAAGTTTAAGTAATTAATAATAATAATAATAATAATAATTTTTATTATAAAAATATTTATTATATTTTTATATCGAAAGAGATTTAAAATTTGTTTATATTATGTATTAAACTTTTATTTATATTTTATTTAATATAAATTTTTATTAAAGTATGAGATTAATTAATTTAACATTTAGTTTAAATTTCTTACGAAGTAAATTAAATTTATAAAATTTTATATAAAATTAAAATAATTAATATTATATTTATAAAAAATTATTAAGTAGTATAAATATTTAAATATAATGTTTAATATCAAAGATCTAATAATAATGTTAGTAACATATTTTTTTTTATATATATAATTTTAGTCATATAATTTATTATTAGTTAAAATTTATTAATTTAAAAATAAAAAGTAAAATACACGTGATTTTAGTCAATGATAGATAGTTAATGATAGAGTATATGTCAGAGCTGGCATTATTTATCATAATTTAATTGAAGGTTGAAATTTGAAAGAAAAATATTACTTTTTAAATAATTGATAAATTTATATAATTATACATACGAGAAAGTATAAATTCATATTATATGTGCAAAGTAATATGTATACGCTTTCATAATTTACTGGTTGGGATCCGAGTGTGCGCGTTGTACTACAAATAATTCGAAACTTTTCAAAATATTTTTTTTAATAATTAAAACGAAAATATTGAATATTCCTTGTTAGCGTCTTCTTTAGCAAACATTAAACTACTTTTTGCATAAGAATTAGCTGGCAAAACAATATAAAATAAAACAAGAAAATGGGATTAATGAAAAACAAGTTTCAGTGAATTAGATGTCAAACATTTAACTAAAGGCAAGACATGTCTCAAGACACTGAGATTGTATATGAAATTATTTACAGATCACTATGTTGAATTAAATCAAAATACATTTGCTATATCCATAAATATAAACAGTATGAGCAATAATATATTATTTTGTAATATTTGTTGGCTAAAATTTACTTAAAATTACAACCCTTTTTTCTCAACTAAAATAAATTAAAAAAGAAAAAGAAAACTTGGCGATTGCTTGAGTATATGATTGAATCTCTCTATGGCACTCATCAATAATTAAATCAAGATTCCTCTAAATAATTGAATCAATTCCAACATGAAGTTAGGAGGTCCGAAAGTGTTTGTGTTGAATTATATAATCTGCAATTATTGGAGGATTACCAAATCTTGAGTTTCTTTTTGACGGATTATGCAGGTAAAGCTGCATAGAAAGCATATAAATTAAATCGACTAGTGCCACTATATCAGCCTAACTTATGTATGTGTACCCTTAACAGTACCTGACTTATCTCTTCTTATTTGAACCCTAATAAATAAAGGGCCGAAAGAAAACAATGCATCAAATAATATTATTCTTGATTTAAATTAGAAGCGATGAAAATAAGCTGTCAAGTTAGGAACTGTAAGAGTTTGAAACTAACTAATTAATTCTTGAGTTTAAAATTTATGTATGATCTAATTACTTAATGTAGACCATTTTTCAAAATCTGATCTATTTTACTACTAGGTTAGGCCATAAATCTAACATATTTGTACCCCTTATTACAGTAAAAAAGGCCTTCAACAAGCAAATGACTAATACAATTAATAAAGAGAAAACAAGGAGTGATTTTGTGGCAGTGTATTTGATCGAAATTCAATAGCTAAATATGTACGCATACCTACTAGCCCTTAAGGATCCCTTAAGAATTAAGTTCTGAAAAGGTGCGTAAGACAGCTTGAGGGCACTCTCCGTTGGAAGAACAATGGGTGGGGACTTTCTCGGAAGTTCTCAGCCTTCACACACAGCTATGGGTAGTTGCCTTTGCAAAAAGATAATGAAGAACGCACATATACTAACTCGAAAAACATATACTATGTCAAGGAAAGCTGAAAAGGCAGAAAGAAAGCAAAGCCTTCACAGCGTGCTTTGTTAAAGAGAAATCTATACGGGTACAATGTACGGGCTCCAACTTTACAAGCTTAAATCTATGCTCGTTCAAGTAATATTATTAACTGGTTTTAATGCAAATTACAGACTCATTGCATTACTAACTAAAAATATAGAGGCTGCTAAGTTTTACTACCTCACATCATGTCTGAACAGAAAAATGAAAAGATTAATATATATTTTCATACATCTAGTTCACAATTGATAACATCAATTAAGACTGAGTCCATTATTACTCTAAAATGTCTTTCTTTAAATAATTTTATAGAAAACTCTTTTATATTGGTTAATTAAATTAATAATAATATTTAAATAAAAAGTGGTAATAGGTATTTAAGAATGAGAATAGATACTCCTCGTCAATTAAATACGTACCCTTTTTATATGTACATTCACATGTCCTTTTTACTTTCAGTTTGAAACTTGAACTTTACATAAATCATTAGTTGTTTTGTCTTCTTTTATTTTTCTAGAGGTTTTCAGTCAATAATTCCTAAAAAAGAAGAGTAATATTTACTTTTATTATTATAATATAATTGATAGTTTTTCTTTATTTTATAACTCCATATTATATATATGCTGGTGCTAACCTGATCAAAGGGGAATTGATGGAGGCAATCCTCAAGTGTAATTGTATGATCAAGAAAAGAAACTAACGCAAAATTTATTCTATTTGTATCTTTTCATGTTGTCATGTTAGAAACTGACGTAGCATTATCATATGGTAATCTTAGGGGGAAAAAAACACAATTTTTTATTCAATAATAAAGATACATCATGATTAATTGTGAGATTTGCTAAATAAATTTGATAAAAAGATAAACATTTTTTCTAACGTAACTGCATCATATTACTTAACTTCATAAGAGGATTCAAAGCTTAGCTTAAATTTATTTGTCAAGTTTGCTTTACTTTAATTTTGAGGAAATAATTGATTTTATATTTTTAAGAGCTTTAGAAACAGCTGTTAAATAAGTAATTAATTTTTTAAACAAACTAATCTAAACACATAACTAATGGTTTTATTTTTTGTTTTGCAAAGTAAATTAAAGAATGGAAAGAGAAAAAAGTATATAAAAGTTGTATGTAGATCACGAAATGTTGCAAAATGCTTGTACTTCCTTTTAATTGAAGTACTGAGTTCTAGAACTTTGATATAAAGAAATTCACTTTTTATACGTGTCAGTAACTTTATATGTTCGCCATTTAATCTATGTATTTTGATATCACTAAAAAGGTTTGCCGTCTCACAAGCACTTAGTATGATGAAACTCTTTCACTAATATCATAATAACAGCTGATTAATCAGATTACGGTGTAAATATAGTAAGTGATGAAGATGAAGGGTAAATTCAAAAAGCCCAATATTGAAGAAAATTCCGTTTAATTCACATTATATTTAGCGCATGCCACCTTACACCTCATCAGAAAAATACAACAGGTAGATTGAACAAAATTAGGAGTAAAAGCATTATTCTAATTCTGTAGGCATTATTTATACATATAAGAAAAAGAAGGCATCTAGGGAAGCAAAGTGACAATAATAGTAACAAAAGCAAAGTTGGGCTCTGTATCACCTAGCTAGGGAAGAACTATTGCGTGACAATTCAAAAGTAGAGGACAAGAATGCTTATGCTTCTTCTGAGTTTTACAACCAAGATAACCGTTCTTATTAATAGAGAATCATTACACTATTTTTTTATTTATCTTAAAACAATAGGTGATCTGATAACACCATGAACTTGCCACTCTATAAATACCAACATGTGCTGTATGCCACTTACAACCTAGATACACAAAACTCTCAACACAAACATTCTTGAAAGTGTACACTTAGAAGGGGTTGTTTGTGAGTGTTGATAGTTGAGAGTGACACTTGACTAGCAACAGAAGAGAAGAGTTAATGGGAGCCAAAAGGTCATCTTCTTGCTCTTTTTCGAGTGTATTCAAGGCGTGTTTCTCAAGTGGGAGTAGATATGATGATTATTGGGAAGGTAGTGGGAGTGGAAGAAGGATATTTGCAAGTGATGAAGATAGAGGGCATTGGGTTGCTGAGCCTGGTATTGATAGAAAAGCCTCTGATTTCATTGCTAGATACTATGCCACACGGGTCACTGACTCTGAGCGCCAA